TGCTAGCAACCACCACTTAAACAGCTCCTGTCATGCAACCAGCATACCCTCTTTTAAGAGCTTGGCAGTCAATGTTCTAGATATAGATGTCTAAATCAACTAATAAGGAGCTTACTATACCCAGTGAACCACTAACATACAGAAGATAAAATAAAACAAACAGAAGAAATTACAAAATGAAATTTGAGGTATTGCAACATGATGTTGTCAAAAACTAATGAAGTTAAACCATATCTACTTGATATATTAATGTGCAAGCTGAATCGTTGATTCTCAACAATACAATATGCAAAGGATCTTCGGAGGTGGTAGAGAGCAGGCGCTGAAAGGGAATGGAGAGTAGTGGTTTGGACCGAATCACCCATTCAAATAGCAGCAAATCGACGAAGGGATGAAAACCCAGTATTCCCCTGACAGTGGGCGCAAATGGTATGCGAATAACCGGGAACTCAGGATTCCAATCAAGAAAGTGATTTTATTACAACTCATAGTCTGCAAGTAAAGTCATACCGGTTTTGGCCACTTCAGGGGGGAGAGAATAGGTTGGTGATAGATTGAAAGAAAAGATGAACGCAGACGGATGAGTAAGATTGAATCAATGTAGAAGTAGTTTTTCGTTTATAGTATTTCAGTAAAAGATTAAGAGAGGAAACCTTTGCGGCTTACCTTGTTCATCAGTTCAACCTAGTCCGAAGAAAGAATAATTGACCCTGTGGACCTTCACCATAATCTCTTGGATTCGTTTCTACACTTCATGGTTGCTGTACAACGCATCTGAGTAGACGCAGACGAAAGTAAACAGTAATAAGACATGCGTTGTGCAAATCAACAAAGTACAACACAGACAATCTAAACCAAAAGGAGAGATCTAAACCATAAGAAAATCTACTAATCCATGAAAAGGAAGAGAAAGAGAACCGATAGGCAAAAGAACACGGCACAACTACCAGTATAAATATCCAACCCTGAACTGAAGAGCATGTTCCGATAATCGAAGCATGTCGAGCCGAAAACAAAAACAATATAGCATCTCGAACGATATAAAGGAAAAAATATAAACCGGAACTGAACGGTTTCCCAATACTGCTATTGTTAGTTGTATACTTAGTCCTAGATTCCATTTCAGTCCGAAGAAAAAGCGATGATTTATGATTTATAGCAAACAAAATCCAAAACATCAATGAACATCGTAGACCATAAATGATTTATGATGGAATAAAGGAATGTAAGTTCTCGTGTGAGTGGTGTAAGATACCACCACAAGTTTAACAACAACACCTCATAACATGAAAAGCAAACAACTGGACGTGTAAATTAGAGTAACCTACTCATGACATGAAACATGATGAGAATTGACAATAGAAAATGCACCAGAGCTTGCTGCTACCTAATTCCATCATATGATGGAGAAAGTGGAATTGAAATTTTACTTATTAAACAAAAAGTGTGACTTCACCTTAGCAGGAAGCAACTTCCTTCCCCAAACTCCTCTTTAAGGCCTGCTCCTTTACTGTGGCAAGAAGAAACAGAGAAAAGGGGGAAAAAAGATCTTAATAAGTAAAAAAATGAACTCAATAACACAAAGAACAACATCATCCATGATGAAACAATGACTGCAATTGAACAAAATTACTTGTTAGTATCTATAGTTTTCAGAATGCACCCTATGAACAGGAAAATGCATATGTAAAGCAGATGTAAGTTTGTATTAGCTAAAGCGAAACTTCATGACACTTACAGATTGCTGCAGAACTATAAGGTGATCTTGCATCTAAAAAAAAAACGAATCCATATATTGTCAAGAAAAATAAACTCAGTGTTGTTTTCTCCGATTCATTCATGAAGCAAGGCTTTTTACTAAATTCTGAAATAATTCGAAACACTCAATAAAACCATTTTACGATGAAAAATTGTAGGTCAAGTGATGAAAGATTGAGAAAAATAACTACTGTACCCAGTTGCTTCAGCCATCAAACCATCATAATCACCACTGTGGTATACCACAAGTCCAAGCTGGTTCACAAATAAGCTGACATGAATAAACTCAAAAACCACATAAACATACTAATTAAACCCAAATATAATTCCTTCCTACCACAACGTTATGGCAGAGGTAAGGGAGAGCTTCACAAACCTACCAAGCGACCTGAAAGCCTTCCATGAAAACCCAGTCCCAGCTTTAGAGATATAAGCAGAAACCATATTAATCTTGAACCAACATAAAAAAGAAGTTACCTTGCACTCAGTAAGTGAGATTTGGGGGGACATGCAGCAAAATGAACAGATTTGTGGTTGAGAACCAAAAAAGTAAGCGAGTCGGGGATAAGAGCAAATTGGATTGGGAGCAAGGTCTGCAGAGGGTCTTTGAAAATGACCGCTGTAGAATCATCGCGGACAATCCACCTATGGGCATGCTTGCTGCCGACGTGGTTTCGAGGCCGATGAATTCATTGAGAAAACCAGCTGTCTTAGTTTTTTTCCATCAAATAGCATTCTGAGATGCCAGAGAAATAAAGAGACAGGATGAGAGTTGGAACACAAAATCAATCATCTAACCAATCAAAACAAACTCCATGGCATAAATTAAAACCCAAAAAAAGAATACAATCAAAATCAACGGCAGTCCAAAAACTAAAAACCTTAAAAAGAACCAAAGAACAAACACAATCAGAACCAACTGCATATCAAAAACGAAAACCCAAAACCCCAAAAGAACCAAAGAATAAGTACAAATAGAGTGTAGTGTAAAAACTGAACATGTTACAACCAGCAATTTACCGTCTACAGTGTCGGTGGGTCGTCCAACTCTCCATGGATCGATTCATAGGCGGTAGGGCACAATCACACTTCCCATCATAGAGTAACCCAACTCACATTTTCCTTTGCTGCTTCCCTCTTCTCCTGCGGTCGGCAGCAAGCAAAATAGGCCAAACAATAACATCACTAAAGCTTGATCAGCCGAAAGGAACATAAATGAAAGTACAACAATGAAATACGCAAAGAACAACACCTAACCTAAAACTGGAACGACAAAAGGCTCGATTTCCAGATGGTCTAAAAAACTTCAGCAGATATGGGTACTCCACATCGCCTCCCATTCATACTTCCCTCCAACAGAGAGAGCTCTTTCATTGAGAGTGGACGAATAAACCCCCCTGGAAAAGGAAGAATGAGAACTAAAACATGAAAGAAAAGAGAGTAAACAAACTAATCGGAGAAAGAAACCCATCACCTGATATCCAAACCCGGCACCACCGCTAAACCTCCCAAATCAAGCGGTTGTAAACCTCTCAAATCCTGCGTCACTGTCGACGATCACAACCGCTTCTTCCAGCCTCGTCGTCGGACCGCAGGCACCGCAACACCACCAGACCACCGTCGCACCTCCACCCATCACCGGTGACGGACCACAACCCACGCACCAGCGCAGCCCAACCACCGTCGCTCAGCTCAAACTCCGCCACTCGCCTCGTCCCCATCGTCGCTGACGGACCACCAGTCATGCACCACCGCCGCTGCATCTGAGCGTCACGTCCCTATCGCCGATCCGCACCCAACTTTGACCCTACTATCCTTCATCTTGATGAGGTCCACTCTTCCTCCTCATCTTCTTCTCTGGATTCTTTGACACTATTTCCTTCTTCTCCAGCCGAGAAAGGAAAGGAGGGTGGGTGGGTGGGTGGAATGAGAGAGATGCTTGATAAAAGGAGCTGATTTTGTGTGGCTGGGAAGAGTGGAAGAGGAAAAGGCAACAAAAAAAGGAGCTGATTTTTGTTTAATTACGGAAATGATCATCCCTTACTTAGAATCTCAAGGTTTGGTTAATTACGAAATAGTACCTAGTGTGATGTGACTCTATGAAACAGTAAACTCAAGGATAAGAGAGAAAGTGTTGAAAGTGACAGGACCAACTACAAAACGTAAAGCCAATTGAGAAATGATGAGAACAAGGAAAAAGCAAAAAGTAACAGTGGCGGGATGTGACTCTACCAAACAGTAAACTTGTAACTTGTTCTTTTAAAGAGATAATAATATATAGGCAAGTCCATATGAAGAGATCATAATTCAAAGTTCAAGCGACCATAACCTCATTGAGTTAACCCTTCTCATCATTTCCAATTGCGCTTCTTCAACCATGGGTTGCCATTTGATGCTGTAGCGCTGCACCAACATAAGAAGGACAAAACCACAAGCACTTAACATCAACACAAGGTAACTATCAGAATGATGGTGTGCTTAGTTGAAATTACCAACTTGCTAATTAAAAGGAAAGAGATGTCACCTTAAACTATATAGAAGATGCCACTTTAAATTTTGTGAGCTTTGTTTCTTTGTTGGAAGGATTCCCGAAAAAGTAGTGAGATATCAGATAAGGTATCTCAAAAGATTTTTGTTTACACTTCACATTGAATATCAAAGTCTTCAGTCGAGTAAACGGTGAAGTATGAGATTCAAATGATTGGTGAATACTTTCAAGTATCTGAACAGCAACAACAAATAAATTAAATATACCATAAGAAACGACGACGCAAAATTCAAACAAAAATTTTATGTCTTAAAACAATTAATAGACAACAATCCTAGAGCCTAGAGTAGAATGGATTGCCTACCTTGACGGTATCCGAATGCAGTTCGAGTGTTGTAGCACTCTTCAACCCTTGAAACAATTTCGTCAACCTCTCAGCGGCCACTCTTACCGGAGTTATCCACCGAGGCTTATTCCCATTCTCCGGAATAGCAAGATGATGATGGCCGGAGATTTGGACATAGGCGCGGTCGAGGGAAGGCATATGCGCGCGTCACCAAACCGCGAACACCACACCACATCCTTGTAGGAGAAGGACTCGAGATTCGGTGCAAATATTTCCACCTCTGAAGGGACATACTCAATGTTGAGATTGCGCAATTGGATCCCCGAGATTCTCACGGAAGCCTTCCTTCCATTATTATCAACCAGCCAGCAGCATCGCGACACGGTTAAATCCCTCAGGCAGGGGAAATCAGCGAACGGGTCGACCCGCCCGGTCTTGGCCCGACAATACGTAGCGTAGAAGAGTGGCGAGCGTCCTGAAAGTAGCGTAGAAGAGCGTCTCGTACATCGATCTCGCTTCGATTGTGGCGGACGACACGGGGCCCATGTCCAAGGTGATCTCCTCGACCACGGCGGAGCCGTAACGGCGGGAGAGGATGTGGGAGATGAATTGGGTGAAGGTAGGGAAGCTGTGGAAGGAATTTAGGTTGAGATTGAGGGCAGGGACGCCTTTCCAGACGGATCTCCAACGGCGGGAGAGGAGGCTTGTTCGGACGGTGGTTTTGGAGTCGACAAAGCAGAGGATGCGGCGGAGGAGATGTTCGGGAAGTTCGCTGAGCCGATCGTCGACTTGGTCGATCATCATCGTTCGTTGATTTGCTTGCTTGTCTTTCAGCCGATGATGTGAAAATTAGGTCTGCGCTAAACAAGAGATTGCGGCTCTCACCCGTTGGGGTAAAATATATGGAAAACCTAGAAGACACTCATGCAGGTTATGAATTACAAAGACTAGTATCAATACCCGCGGCTACGCCGCGAGAAATTTAGTTGTGTTTAGTATATAGATCAATATAGTGTTAATGAAAATAGTTAGAAATTCTATAGAGAAAGCAAGTGCCATAATTTTGTTTAACAACTTAGACATCTTGTTATGCAAGGCTTGTAAAGATTATCTACAAAGCATAAGACTACAAAGTTAACTTAAGCCCATGTAAACCTTTCAAATTCAAAACCAAAATTACACCGAAGAAATACTTTGCAATTGGGCAAAGCAACACACAGAATGATCAACCAAATATTCCACATGAAAGATACATCCACCTTCCTTTCGATACCCCTTCATTTTCATAATACTTGCTCGACCCCAACAACGTCCTCTCCAGCTGGCTCCCCACTCGCAATACCTGGTCGTGGTTTGGAGTCACCTGCTACCTCGATCAGGTCATAGTCTAAATCCTACGAAAGAACAAATTATATCCGTTCATACTGCCAAAAGACATGTAATTTTTTCTTCTAAACCTGCAACGCTTGTTCTACATCAGGCTGCTTCTGTAACAATAGCAGGGTGAATTTATCAGTGTCCCCATAAATATGCTGTTTCCTGGGGAAGTTGCCAACTTTATGGTGAGGCTATCAAACTGTTTGGATTGGCTGGGAAAGAGTTCGCACATAAATGGGAATAAAACATCAGTGTAACTAACAATTCAGTTATTGTACTTTGTTTATGTAATTACCCCAACAGGTTAAGAAGCTTGTCTGTAAAGCTACTTGGATTCATTGTGAACAAAATTCTAATGCTAATGGCAAGAAATACTCACAGTAACATCAAAGACCGTTGATTTCTTAAGAAATTGTACTTCTCCATTAAGTCTTCTTCTCGGAATTTGATGCTGCACAACTGAGACTCTCAGGGGTCAGGAAGACTTGCAACAAATACTGTGAACCTTTGTAAACGGTATGACAACAATGGAATCAAATTTCGAAAATAAAAAGAAATGAATATCATTTAATGAATGAAGAAACCCGATGAACTATTTTGACTCTATATATATGATCTCCATATAAGTAATGTGAGAGCAACAACTTCCACTCACCTGACTATATTAACAAAAATTTCAGATCTAATGTGTCCATCCCCTTGCCATATGAACTTTCTTCCCAACAGAGTTTGAAAGGCAGGCATTATCGGAAATATAACGCTCATATATTTCTGTACCGCAAACCAGAGGAAAGTCATCTGCAGCATATAGCCAGCCACCATTCCTGATCATATCCCATTAACCAAGCTCGGATATGACACTAAGCACAGCTGCCAGAAGAAGGTCCTTTCACAAATTGATGAAAGATGCGCCCTTTCTTCCACCTCCTTCTCATAGGTCGATTGACAGTCATCATCCCTAGAGAAGGTGAAGGGTGAGACTGGACTCTTACCCAATTTATAGTAACGCACATCACCATTCACACCCACATTTGCTGGTGGGCTCAACTGCTGATGATAACCTTAGACTTCCTTCTCAAGGAAAAGGATATGCCTCTCGCGTCTGATAAGGATCTCCTGCAGCACGTTCATCTCCTCTTCATCACAGGAAAACGTTTCTTCCACCATCGTATGACTCTGCCTAAGCTCCATCTTCAATGACGGACACTGGTTAATCTGTTCACAGAAACGTGTCCCCATAAATTCACGTAAAGCTTCAAACCAACATATGTTGCAAATGAATTTGTGTTCTAACTGTGAACAGACTAACCATGAGCTCAGAAGTCGTGCTCGCTTATTTGTTGATTGTTGGAGAATTGCTTGATATTGTACACATTTCTTTGGAACAGCAAATCATGCCTGAATCTTGGCCAGTAATGGAAATAACTACAACTCCCACGACTATCATTTAGCATAAAATATCACTATTCCCTTCACTGTATGAGTGTAGGATTTTGATTCCCAACTCAAAATCAATACAAACATACAATTGGGCTCTAGTATAAAAAAAGCTATGGAAATCACATTCTAGTAAGGGTTGCTGTCAAACCTCTACCAGTGGATCTTTTTTGGCTAGAAATTGTTGGATTTGAAGCTCGGAGAGAGATAAAAGGGAGCCAAGTTGCAGCTGCTCCTCCATGCCGTTGAAACGATTTCTACCTCTTCGTAACAAAGTCTAAGAAAATTGGGATATGGAAGAAAGGTTGGTTGATCGAGTGGTGCAGGGAGATAGAAAGTCCCAGCAACATGTTTTTTGTGCCACTTGCAGGCAAGGTCGAGAATCAATGTTTAAGAACGCTGCCCGCCATCGCCGGTGACGAAGCTTCACCTAACACTATTTAGAAGGAGCGAGAGCATAGAATGGAAGAAGCATATAGCTTTGTAATATTACTTACGGCGGGGAGGAAATTAACCCTCGCAATAGCAAGAACTTCATTGAGATGGCCCATCTAAATTAGGCAAAGGGAAGATACATACGGCGCACATTAGGAAGTAACCAATTCGTCGGTCCACAGGGTGGAGTGCTCGTAGAATCCGCCGGGTTGGCAGGGGTTTCCAGCCATCCATCCATATAGGCATTAGTCGCACAAAAACTTAGACTTCCATGTGAGCTTGGAAAGGACGGTATGATTTATGAGGCCAGCTTAGATTGTAAAGAGACGGAAGCCGAGAACTGGCCAGAGATGGGAGAGAACGCCAAAACAAAATAGATCACAGAATTGAGGTGGAAGAGGACGACAAAACCAAGCAATTCGGCTCCTAGGGTTGGGAGGACCATAATCAAGGTCAGTAGAGCAGGTATAGTACTATTCATGGCCGCTTGCATGTTTGGAAGAGGTTTCGGTAGCGGTGCCGTGTGTGAGCAAGAAAAGCGAACTGAAATCTGGAAAAGGTTAGACAGCAGTGAAGGATGACAGGGCGAGGAAGATGGGACAGAGGCAATTCTGTGCGTACAGACGGTAAGGGGAGGCATGGCCGCTCGATGGGATTAGGGAAGGCAAAGAGCTCCATATGTGAGTGTGGAAGAGTTGAATAAGGAAGCTGTTTTCTCGAAGCCCTTCACCAATTCCCACTAAACGACACAAAATGAAACAGTAACCGAAGAAGTTGGGCAATAAAGTGTACCCACGTTTCATGTATAAAAGAATTTCGCTTTACCTCTTTGTCTAAAAAAAAAGAATTATTTTTAATTTTTTATCACCTAGGGTTTAAATTTGGGTAAATTGCAAGTGTGATAGTTGGGATTAATATATTGTTTCACGTTTTGTATTTAAAATTATTTTTATTCTATTCTTGTACACTAAAATTAATTGAATTGTCTAAATTTGATCATTTCGTCATTTTCATTTACCAAGTTCGTTTTTTTTCTCTGCATACAGAGGTGGCTAAAGGATATTGCATACAATCATAAAAATGGCCTGAGATAAGTAATTTAACAAGTCAATAAAGCTTCCATGGAAAACACCACTTAGAAATTAAATTTTACAACCATTTTTTGAAATTAATAGAGTTATGTTCTCAAGGCCGAGGGAAACAAGGGATCGCTTGTGCACTATATATATATATATATATATATGTGCCTCTCAAACTATGTCACTTTAAACGGCCTTAACCTCATTGAGTCAACTCAACCCTTCTCATCATTTCCATTGCTTCTTCAACCATGGGTTGCCATCTGATAGGGTAGCGCTACACCAATGTAAGCAAGACAAAACCACAAGCACTTAACATCAACACAAGGTAATTATCAGAATGATGGTGCTTAGTTGAAAGTATCAACTTGCTAATTGAAAGGAAAGAGATTTCACCTTAAACTATGTCACTTTAAATTTTGTATATTTTGTCTCTTTGTTGGAAGGATTGCCGAAGAAGTAGCGTGACAATGAATAAGGTATGTCAAATAATTTCTGTTTACATTCTACATTGATGATCAAAGTCTTCAATCGAGTAAAAGGAGAAGTCTGAAATTCAAATGATTCGTGAATACTTTCTAGTATCTGAACAACAACAACAAAAAAGATAAGAATAGATGTGAAGTTCATACAAATTTCATAACAAACAATTAATAATCAATTTAAATCAATATATAACATAATTACTAAAATACGTTCCGTCAATCTTTTTTTGCATGTTAATGCACTCAATCTAGTAATCATCAATTCTCATCTCCAAACAATCTAGGTCTTCAATTTTATAAAGACAACACATAAATTTACAGAGAAACTATTTACAATTTGTTTGTATTTATGAAAACTTGCTCGATCACTTTAGAAATTTGTTTAATGATCAGAATTAACAAGGACATATTTTTAACTAAAATATTCATGATTCTAAACTATATCATTTCCAAAAACAAAAAATGTCCAGCTTGATGATTACTAGAGTATAATTATATATTAAATTGTACCATATAACACCCAAAATATATAGATTGTATATGATAAACGAGATTACTTCCTCTTCCTCCTAGAGGTAGAATAGAATAGATCACCTACCTAGAAGGTATCCAAATGCAGCTCAAGTGTTCTTACACTCGCCAATCCGAATCATTATGGGTAAATGATAAGGTTGCATTGCATCCACTCATAAAAATGACCTGGGATAAATAATTTAAAAAGTGAATAAAGCTTCCATAGACAATACCATTTAGACACTATTTTTTTTTCTCTTGCAAAGTCAAGAGTTACAGTCATACCGAAGATAAAAGAAGAGCACGAGAGTCAACTAATAGTCGAACTCTCGAGCCTTGTGTGCCACATGATTTGCAGTTCTATTGAATCGACGAAATACAAAACAGAAGGAAACCTAGCTTAATTGAGAAGCCAAGCTCCGAATATCTTCTAGTATACCTCCACCCCAATCATGTGCCAAATTATCTCCAACCATTTAGACACGAAATTACAACAATTTTTTGTAGACTATTAATAGAGTTATGTTCTTAAGGCAGAGGGAAATAATGAATCGTTTGTGCACTATATATGTGCCTCTCAATTGTATACATAGGCAAGTCCATACGAAGAGATCATACTTCAAACGACCTTAACCTCATTGATTTAACCCTTCTCATCATTTCCAGGTGTGCTTCTTCAACCATGGGCTGCCATTTGATAGAGTAGCGCGCGCACACCAATATAAGAAAGACAAAACCACAAGCACTTAACATCATTTCCAGTTGTGCTTCTTCAACCATGGGCTGCCATTTGATAGAGTAGCGCCACACCAATATAAGAAAGACAAAACCACAAGCACTTAACATCAACACAAGGTAATTATCAGAACGATGGTGCTTAGTTGAAATTATCAACTTGCTAATTGAAAGGGAAGAGATGTCACCTTAGGCTTAAACTAGAGATGTCACTTTAAATTTTGTATACTTTGTTTCTTTGTTGGAAGGATTCCCGAAGAAGTAGTGTGACAACGAATAAGGTATGTCAAATAACTTTTGCTTACACTCTACATTGATGACCAAAGTCTTCAGTCGAGTAAAAGGAGAAATCTGGGATTCAAATGATTTGTGAATACTTTCAAGTATCTGAACAACAACAAACAAAAACATAAGAAAAAAATGCAAAAATCATACAAATTTCATGACTTGAACAATTAATAATCAATTTAACGCACTAATAATAATAATAATAATAATAATAATATATTACTATTAAAAGATGCTTCCTCGATCTTTTGTTGCGTGTTATTGCAGTCAACCTCATGACAGTCATATTTTTTTATCTCCAAATAAACTATTTTTTAAATTATATAACAACGAATAAGACAACAAGGAATTTTACAATGCTATATAGTATTGGTGCTATAGGTTTTTGTCTTCATGGTACAACATGAAATTGTACATTTAACGTTATGGTACAATTTCAAATTGTACCTATACTTTTTGTACAAGTTTTTTTATGGTACAACTTGAACTTGTACCTTTATGTGATGGTACAACTTCAAGTTGTAAAGTTGTACCATAACATAATGATGCAAATTCCTTTATGGTACAACTTAAACTTATACATTTAATGTTATGGTACAGTTTCAAGTTGTATATTAAAGCACCAATACTATATAGCACAGTAGTAGTACTCTAAGACAACATGTATACTGCATATTATTTACGATTTGTTTGTATTTCTCAAACTTGCTCGCTGCAATTTCAAAAACAAGTATTACAATTTTATGATTAGATAGTATATAATAGATGAGTTCAGTTACTCCTAGGTAAGAATAGATTACCTACCTCGAAGGTATCCGAATGTAGTTCAAGTGTTCTTGCACTCGCCAACCCATCAAACAATTTCATCAACCTCCTAGCGGCCACTCTTACCGGAGTTATCAACCGACCCCCATTCCTATCCTTGGAATTAGCAAGATGACGACGGCCGGAGATTCGGACACAAGCGCGGTCGAGGGAAGGCATATGTGCGTCACCAAACCCCGAACGCCACACCACATCCTTGTAGCACAAGGACACGAGATTCGGTGCGAATATTTCCACCTCTGACGGGACATCCTCAATGGTGAGATTCCGCAATTGGATCCCCGAGATTCTCACGGGAGCCGGCAAGCCGCCGCCGCCATCAACCATCCAGTACCATCGCACCAAGGTTAAATCCCTCAGGCAGGGGAAACCCACAAACGGGTCGACCCGGCCGCTGAGCGGGCCGGGCAGGGGCCCACCAAACGCCTCCAGGTGCAGAGTGACGAGGGTTCTGAAAGCATACGCCTTCGGTGCAAAGCACTTCCAGACGCGTTCTGGGTCGCAATAGACTGCGCGCAAGCGTAGGAGGTTCCCGTGCGACGCGGCGTAGTCGAAGAGCGTCCCGTACATCAACTCCGCATCGATGAACATCTCGGGCCACGTGTCCAGTTGCAATTGGAAGGAAATCTCCTCGACCCCGGCGGAGTCGTAACGGCTGGAGAGGATGTGGGAGACGAATTGGGTGAAGGTAGGGAAGCTGTGGAAGGAACGTCTGTTGAGATTGAGGGCAGGGACGCCTTTCCAGACGGATCTCCAACGGCGGCAGAGGAGGCTTGTTCGGACGGTGGTTTTGGAGTCGACGAAGCAGAGGATGCGGCGGAGGACATGTTCGGGCAGCTCGCTGAGCCGATCGCCGATTCGGTGGCGAGCTCTCTTCGTAATTGTGGGCCAGCTGGCGTTGATCATCGATCGCCGTGTATTCGCCTTGCCTTCCCGCCGATGATGTGAAGAGGCTTGCTGCTAAACCTGCAGAGATTGCGGCTATCGCGCGTTGGGGTAAAATATATATAGAGAACCTTCAGACACTCCTCCTGTTTCTGGAATTGCTAAGATTTCGCTTTGTCTCCTTTTCTATGAATAAAAAGGTTGCCTTATTACGTAGGGTTTACGTTTCAACTTCTTACCTCAATTAGATTCTAAAAATCAATTCGATTTCTGTCTTCCCTTCTTGAAAGATATTTGCATGTGGAGGGGTTCAATTCAACAAGTTGAGCTATTGTAATCCCACATTATCATAATGCCATAATAATATATCAACAGAATGCAGTTGACCTAAGAAGTGACATAAACTAGCGGAGCTTATGCTTAACAAGGTGGGTTCTAGGGCCCACCTTAAATCGAGAGAAAATGAATAAATGTAGATATGTTAGTTAGGTGTCATTTAAATTGAAAACCTAAATCTCGGCGTTTAGTTTATCATCATTTACATATAAATCATCATACATTCTAATTTTTTCACAAATAATATTATAATTAAATAAAATTTCATCCGGTCTTATCCTTATTTTTCTTTCATGAATAAGCTCGAGTTTTATTTCATCAGTATTTGTCAATACAATCCAAAACGGACTACAAACTCAATACACCAGAAGAAACAAAAGAAAACACTGCCCTCCAAGCTACAACTTACTGCTAACTAACACACTACGAATAAGATCATGAACCAAAAAGGGTTTCGTCTTAACTCATCCTCTAAGCCAACCTGGCTGATCAGCAATCATTCCAGGCACCCTTTCATCCTTAGTCCTTAATTACTACAACTTCAGCAGCTCCCAACCTCTTGTTTCCATACACCCGACGTCATCGCTGTCGCCAAATCTCACTAATCAAATGATCCCATAACAATCGACCTGCTTTATGTGAATGAAAACATATGACCCTGCTTGAGGCAAGTAAGTAGTAACCCCACCTAGCTAGGAGGAAAGACTGTCTGCAAAACCACCAGAACATAAGGGCAAGAAAAGAAGAGATGGTCACGTGACTCTTCATGAACTTAACAAAGAAGACTTTTTTATATATTACTGTTTTTTTTTAAAAATTTGTTATTTTCATTTGAACCTAATGATGAGGTCTCTGATAATGCTATTTGAGATTTGGAACTTCGACTAAATTATTATATATATGATTTGACGAAAGGCTACTGTTTTCTAGAATAAAATAGAATTCCTGCACTTTTTAGTACTATGGTCATCAAATGAAGCAGATTAGCATTGCCACTACCATTCTCCTTTACAAACTTGGAAGGTAATTTGCAATAACTAAGTAAAACGCTTTTAATTTGATGAACTAATAAAAATTTATAAATTATCATTTGATAAGATATATAAGATTGATATCATATAAATTTATCTTACAATTTTTTCAATATATGAAATATCTATTGTAGAATATTGTAAAATGTCTAACAATTTATCATACAATATCTTATTTTAAATTCGGACCCATCTCATGTGAAATCATAATTATGCCACTGGTGACATAGCCCTTAGCTTCTGTCATGTCAACAAAAAAGTGTTATATTAAAAAAAACAAATAATGGAGTTGAACTATTTTTGGAATTCAAAAAATATTTGTTTTTGTAAAAAAATCCCCTTTAGATAAGGTTGTGGAAATGCAAAATTTTGTGTCTTTTTAGAGAGCGTCTCTAGTGTATAACTTATGTTTTTTTGACGGTTAGTGCATAACTTATCGGTGTATAACCATACTATAATGTTATACTTATCATTTTTTGAAGGTTGTTAACCTTTTCCTAAATAAATTTTAACGGGTATTTCTCTTTCATTTTACTATCAGTCCATACCATGTGGAACTACTTGGTATGTACATAAGATTACATAACGTGGTATGAAAGAGTATTATGGTAGTATCAACACATCAATATCAAATTGATTTTGCTCTTCAAAATGACATCCACTTTGATATGTTTTGGAATGAAAAAAAAAACTTTTATTATCAATTCATACCATATGCTACTACTTTTGCATAAGATTGTACCAAGTGGTATGAACACACCAAAGTTTAGAATAATTGCACACATGATAGTAGAAATATATTAACCGTCATTTACTACCTCTCATCAACGTATACCACCAGTTACCACCCTGTACCACGGTGATATATGTGCCTCTCAAATTATACTCATCAAATTCCCAACTTGTATATATGGGCAAGTCCATACGAAGAGATCATACTTCAAACGCCTTTGACTCATTGAGTTAACCCTCAATTCTCACCATTTCCATTGCTTCTTCAACCATGGTTGCCATTTGATAGGGTAGCGCTACACCAATATAAGAAAGACAAAACCACAGCACTTAACATCAACACAATGTAATAATCAGAATGATGGTGCTTAGTTGAAATTATCAACTTGTTAATTAAAAGGAAAGAGATGTCACCTTAAACTAGAGATGTCACTTTAAATTTTGTATACTTATTTGTTTCTTTGTTGGAAGGATTCCCGAAGAAGTAGCGTGACAATGAATAAGGTATGTCAAATGATTTCTCTTTACACTCTACATTGATGGCCAAAGTCTTTAGTCGAGTAAAAGGAGAAGTCTGGAATTCAAATGATTCGTGAATACTTTCCAGTATCTGAACAACAACAAACAAAAGATAAGAAAATATGTAACGTTCATACAAATTTCATATCTTAAATAATTAATAATCAATTTAACTCAATATATAATATTAGTACTAAAATACGTTCCGTCAATCTTTTGTTGCATGTTGTGGCACTCAATCTCGTGATGATCAATTTTCATCCTCAAACAATCTAGGTCTCCAATTTTAAAAAGACAACACATAAATTCACACAGAAACTATTTACAATCTGTTTGTATTTCTGAAACTTGCTCGCAATCACTTTAGAAACCTGTTTAATGATCATAAACTAAAATATGCATGATTCTAAACTTATATCATTTCAAAAACAAATATGTCCAGCTTAATTATTATTAGAGTATAATTATATATTAAATTGTTCCACATTCGCCCAAAATATATAGATCGTATATAATAAACGAGATTACTTCCTCTTCCTCCTAGAGGTAGAATAGAATAGATCACCTACCTCGAAGGTATCCAAATGCAGCTCAAGTGTTCTTGCACTCGTCAACCCTTGAAACAATTTCATCAACCTCCCAGCGGCCACTCTAACCGGAGTTATCAACCGACCCCCACTCCTATCCTTGGAATTAGAAAGATGACGACGGCCGGAGATTCTGACACAAGCGCGATCGAGGGAAGACATATGCGCGTCACCAAACCGCGAACGCCACACCACATCCGTGTAGCACAAGGACTCGAGATTCGGTGCAAATATTTCCACCTCCGACTGGACATCCTCAATGGTGAGATTCCGCAATTGGATCACGGAGATTCTCACGGAAGCCTTCCTTCCATTATTATCAACCACCCAGTACCATCGCACCAAGGTTAAATCTCTCAGGCAGGGGAAATCCACGAACGGGTCGACCCGGCCGCTGGGCGGGCCGGGCAGTGACCCACCATATGCATCGCAGCCGTCTAGGTGCAGAGAGGAGAGCGTTCTGATTGGTACGAAGCAGTTTCAGACGCGTTCTGGGTCACAATAGACTGCGCGCAAGCGTAGGAGGTTCCCGTGCGACGCGGCGTAGTCGAAGAGCGTCCCGTAGATCAACTCCGCATCGATGAACATCTCAGTCCACGTGTCCCATTGCAATTGGAAGGTGATCTCCTCGACCCCGGCGGAGTCGTAACGGTTGGAGAGGATGCGGGAGACGAATTGGCTGAAGCTAGGGAAGTTGTTGAAGGAACGCCTGTTGAGATTGAGGGCAGGGACGCCTTTCCAGACGGATCTCCAACGGCGGGAGAGGAGGCTTGTTTGGACGGTGGTTTTGGAGTCGACGAAGGAGAGGATGCGGCGGAGGACATGTTCGGGAAGCTCGCTGAGCCGATCATCGTCGACTCGATGGCGGGCTCTCTTCTTAGTTGTGGCCCAGCTGCCGTTGATCATCGTCGTGCATTTGACTTAATTCTCTTGCCGCCGGCCGATGATGGGAAGAGGTCGGCGCTAAACAAGAGATTGCGGCTCTCGGCCATTGGGGTAAAATATATAGACAACCTTGAGACAATCCAACAGGTTATGGAATTGGTAAGATTTCACTTTGTCACCTTTTCTGTAAATAAAAAAGGTTGCTTTATTACCTAGGGTTTACGTTTCAACTTCTTACCTCAATTAGATTCTACAAATCAATTCGATTTATGTCTTTCCTTCCACGAAAAATATACTCGTGGAGGTGTTGACTTAAATGACAAAAAGTTTGTTTTATTACTTAGATTTTGATATAAATGAATTTCATAAGTTTTTGAATTTTTTTATTTTGAAATGAATTTATTTTAGAAAAAAAAATTATAATTATTTTACTAATTATGATATAATTATACTTATTTATTAACTATCTATCTACATATCCATCTATAATATATAGCAGTATTTCAGGAGATTTTGAGCATTTCAAATTCCTTGCACTCCTCTTAATTGTAGCTAGGGGTAAATTTGTAAGTTCAACTTAGAACTTAAATATCTTCTTACGAGAGAAAAAAATGTCATTACAAAGACTTGAACTCAAATCCTTCAAATTGATAATCAATATCCCTAACCAATTGGACTACAACAATATTTATGCATTTTTTAAATTAAAGAGAGAAAATACTAAAACATCTCACAATCATAGGACTATCCACCGCAACAATCAATCATGGAATTAATTAATAACTGTAATTATTTACAAAGTGAATCATCATGATATACCTAGGGATGGCAACAAAACCCGAACCCACGGGTACCCACCCGACCCAACCCGGTCAACGCGGGTAAAATCCGTGTTGATGGGTTTTGGGCCGGGTTTGGGTTTAAACCCGTTCACTATTCCTCGGGTTGGGTTGGGTTTGGGTTTAGGTAAACCCGACCCATGGTACCCGCCCACACCCATATAATTAATTTTCTAGGTATATTTAATATTCTAAACAACTAATCTTATTTATGTTTGTGGAGATATGTCTAGTTTTTCTTTCTAATTGTGTAGAATGAAGTTGATGTTATCGAGTGGAGAGTGAAGAAACTTAATTGAAAAGAAGAAGCTTTCAATTAATCATGTTATTTATGGATAATTTATGATTTGCTTCAATTTTCTTGAGTTTTCTAGATTGGTGTTGAACAATTTGTATAGTTAATTTGTGATTTGCTTGAATTTTCTAGAATGGTGTTTTAAATATGGATAATTTGTATTGAGAGATTGATATTTGACGTTAATTTTGATAGGAATTTGTTATTGTAAATTTTTTACGATAAAAACCCGTGGGTACCCAGCGGGTTGGGTTGGGTTTGAGGTTTTCAAACCCAGTGGGTTTTACCCCGGGTTTTTTTCACAGATAAACCCACGGGTTTGGGTTTGGGTTTGGCAAAACCCGACCCAACCCGACCCATTGCCATCCCTAGATATACCTAGCTTTATGAATCAACAAAGTGAGTTTCTCTAATCACACAATTCTTCACCAAGAATCAAATAGTACATTTTGAGTTTATGTATGTCGTACAACTTTTCATTAGGTTACATGACTTTGTAGTTTGTAGGAATACAAGGATTGTTTACAAAAGTGCTATACAAAATTTTATTTCAAAACATAAAATTTGACATTTGTGATCTATGGTTTTGTAACGAGACATTTTCAATGATATAAGTGAATGACCAAAAATCATTGGCTAACAATTTCCCTAATGGTTGACAATTATAAGCATAGAATTGAAAGACTAAATACAATTGACAAATGAGCCAATTATCATTGCCTAAATTTAACAAACAATGGTATGTGTATATACATTGAAAATTCTATGGTACGCTCGATGGATTGAGGGTTATTGCATCTCCTTTGTTAAATAATATTATCTAGACCACAGATTAATCACGTAACTAAACCCTATATCATAATTCTCTAAATTCTAATATAGTGCATATGGTACGTTGAATACATCTTGGCGAATCAGAATCATTGATTATGTTCTTAGTAAATGTGATATTAGGGTTTAAGTTCTATAGATTTAGGGTATATGATTTAATTATTTGAAACTTAATCTCCCTTTTCAAATTTCCTGCAATGAGCGGGAAATTAGGAAAGACATTTTTGTAAAATGCTTTGATTTATTTTACGAAGCTAAAATATGAAATCACAGAACTTTCCAACAGTTAGCTAGCCCAATAAATATTTCGTAAGTACTTATTTAGTGTTTTGACAATTTTGATATTTTTTATTATAATTATAGTTTAATACTTAATTTAAAATTTTATCTATCTTATAAATAGACGATAACCATAAATTTGCAACCAAAATATTGTCGGTTCGAATATTTCATATCGAATTATAGTATTGAATATGTGGAAGTGATATAGAATTCTTAAATTACCATTAATTTCCAGAACTATAGTGAAGCAATCATATCTTTGTGCAAACTATAGGGGACTGGTTCTCTGAACATTTTTGTCCGGTTAAATACTAAGTTTTGAAACTCTTCCTATGGGTGTACATGGGTCGGTTCGTTTGAGTTTAGATATTTTAATCACCTAACTCATATACCACGATTTTGAAAACACTAAATACAAACTCGCCCAAATAATTTAGAATTTTAACGGTTTGTGTCCTCCATACAAAATGAACCAATTTACATGTCGCTTAACTAAGGACGATCTCATTGTTCAATCCCATCATTCTAATGTCAATCCATAAAAGTAACCCATATTCGCGTTTTTTAACACATGTTTCACATTCTCATTAGTCATTACTGTGACAGGTAACTTCGCTGCAACTGATTCGGTATTGCTCATCATATGGCCTCCAAACGGATAAACATATCGGGCCAGTAGTTTTATGACAAAACTCAAAACGAAGACAACTCATCGTCTGGTGGAATTTTGGCGCTTGCTGGTGTCCATTAATCTAATTGCAAGCATAATGATTGCTAAAATTAAGCTCTCATGCAACACACTAGGAGTTGGGGGTGTGAACTTGGAGTAAAAGTTTATATTGGGTTTGGGAAGGGAAGTGGTGAGAGGAACAAATTGTGTTTAGATTTGGTAGCAGGTAAAGTTCATGGTTCGGTTTCTTTTCGTAAAATGATTTGATTTATTTTAGTTAGAGGTATAATATAATTATATGGGATCAAATGAACCAAAAATGAGCTTGGGGGATGGGAATTCCAACTTAGAAGGAGTGGATTAGATTTTGATAAACTCAAGTTCATGATTAACTGAAAGAATATTTAGATTTAGACTTTGTGGTATTGAGATGTTCATAGAGAGTTTAAAACTGATCCAAGGCCATGGATTGATATTGGTTAGTTTATTTTGATTTTCAGGAAGGTGTATAAAAAGTCATGGAAATAGTTTGCAGCAAGTGAAGGCAGTGAAGAGGCAGTTGGTCAGGGTAGTGATTGAACCAATGAGGGTATTGAAAGACGTAGAAGCAAAATCGGAACAGTTGAAGAGAGAGAAGTGGTAGATGATCATGATATTAATGAAAATAGAGAGGGTATTGAAGGGCATGGAAGTGAACTGGATCAGGTGAAGGCAGAGAAGGAGGAGAAGAGCATATTGATGGAATTGAAGATGAGTGTTGGTTTTACGAGCTTATTAAAACTGCCCCGAGGAAGATGAGTTGGCCAAATACAAGAAAGAGGATTGAGGAGTTGGAGATCAAGCTGACAAGAAACTCAATTGAAAGAGAAATTCAGGTTCATGGAGAGAAGGTCCATCAAAGTAGCATAAATGGAGTTGCAGAAGGAAGATTAGAAATTGAATTTTAGTTTAAAACATATACGTCGAGAGATTGAAGATAGATGGGATAAAAATTTGGTTGTACATCAGAGAGTGGAAACTATTGGATCCTTAGGTGTTATGGTTGTTGCAACTACCACAACCTATGTTTATGTTAAAACGAGAAATCATTGATTGATTTACTAAAGTTAAGGTCAATTCACTATTCAAACTACTGGAACCTATAGATAAGGAGTGTCTAATTTTGTGCCTCATTACTTTGATCGAGTCTATTAGTATATTGGATGTAACTCTAATTTTGTCATTTTCTCTCAAGTTTTGATGGTCTCCTTTTAGTTGAGTTGTTAGCATATGATTTTCTTGAATCTACAACTCTTCATTTCTGTTTTTTATTTTATAAATCATTTCTTTTTTATTAGTAGCATGTTATTCATAGAAGAGAGCTTTGAACCATTTATGTGGGATTGTGAGGTTTCATTTCAGTTTCAAACTATCTATGGATCGTGTGTGAATTCCAATGAGCTTTTATATTATATATTTCTGGACAATCTATTAAATAATATCATTTTAATGGGGCTCAATTATCATTATGAAAATGGGATTACTGATATATTTTTATATTATTAAATGAGGAGGGTATTTCCCTGAACGTTCGACCTATATATTCATTCTTTATGTAGCATCTCGATTGAATGATTTTCAATAAACTTAAACGAATTAATAGACTTAAACATAACATTAAAATATAAATATTAAAATATGAACATAAATATAAATATTAAAATATGAACATTTCGGCCAACGGGCCGGTTATAAGCTAGTCCTCCTATAATATATAGCAGTTCTTTGGCTAATTTTCTCCATCCATAGTGAAACTAGGAAGACCATTTTTGTCTTCACAATTACTTATTTCTTTCTTATTTATTCATAAAAAAATATATACATATGGGAATTTGAACCATGACCACTTTAAGAGAGTGAAAGCTACATATATTTGTTGTATCTTTTAAAAGAAAAACATACACAAACTTGAAATCACACAAATCAGAAGACCTTTTCAGCGGTTAGCTAGCAACTAAATCTCTCATAAGTACTTATTTGGTGATTTGATACTTCGACTTTCATATTTTTATTATTTTAGTTATATTTTAATACTTAACTTATATTTCAATGTATATTATAAAAAGAATAACTTTAAAATTGCAACCCATATATCACTTAGTTGAATATTGCATATAAAATTAGAGTATTAAAGAAGTCGAAGTAATGTCAAAATTTTAAATTAGTATTCATTTTTATAATTGGCTATGAAGAAATCATATCCTTATGCAGACTATATGGGACTGCTTTTTTTAATGTTTTAGCAGGGTTAACTGCTAAACTTTCAACATGTTCCTAATCTGGCATGATTAGATCCAATGATCATTGTACGATATTAAGCTTAATTATTGGTTCATTTCACCATTTTTTGACATGTTAATGAATTTCTAGGACAATGACATATGTCTACGTCTAAACACAATACAATATAGGGCAATGTCTATTTTTTACCCAAACCTTTTTCAGATTCTTTTATTTTAACCAAACCTATTGAATTCCTAAAAATTATCCAAACGTTAACTCTTCGTCAACTTTTCTGTTAGTAATGCTGACTAAGTATTACCATAATGAGTTGACTTCCTACGTGGCGGTCAGAATACCATCATTTACTATTTTTAATAAAAAGATTATAAAAAAACAAAACAAAATCCCACCTCTCACGTGGACGAAATAAGTAACGGTGACAGAATGAATGCCCAGACTTTGATAAATTATAATACGTTTGGATAATAAATAGAATTTCTATAGGTTTGGTTAAAATAAAAGAATCTGAAAAAGGTTTGGGTAAAAAATAGACATTTCCCTACAATATATAAGACTGGAATGAAAAAAGTATTTTCCCTTTTCAAATTCCTACAACGAGAGCGAAAATATGAATGGTATATTTGCCTTCACAATTATTAAACTTATTTATTTGTAGAAAATAAACAAGTATTGGAATGTGAACCAATGTATCTTCCAAAAAAGACAAGAATCATAAGCCTGATTGTCAGCCCAAGTTTGACATGGTTGGCCGAATCAGTTTTGCCAAACCCGAGTATTTGTTAGGATGTTGGAGGCCCAATTGGTTATCAACCCAAACTTGGTCAAACTAAGAAAACCAGTTGAATTAGGAAACCGAGTTGATTCAACTAACTCATCTAAGCATTGAGTCACTTCAAACCGACATCATTTCAACAAATCTAATCACTAGCTCTGTTGACATGTCGTCCTTTTCCTTATCAAAGACCCATGCAGCAACATATATCAACCACCCGTGTTCGGTTATCCCATAATATCTTTTCCTCATTTAGTATCGGCAGGCAACCATACAAGTCTCAATCATCTCAAAAGCCAACACAGTTCCTCAGTAGTCGATTCCATTTTCCTTCGAGCAACAAGGTCACATTGCCAATCAACCACATCTCAAACAAAGAATAAGCCACAAGATTAGACGAATATATATTTGGATTGAGACTTGGTGTGATTAACAAAGATCAATGTCCTCATTTGTATATATACATGAAATCGAACTGGAGAAGAAGAGTAAGAACATTGAGAATGAAATATGATATGCAATGAAAAGAAGAAAAGAAAAAACTAGAAAATGAAATGGAAAAAGATAAAAAGAAAGAGGGAAGAGATTTAGAATTAAAGCGTCATTTTAAAGCATCAGTTCCAAGTGAGTGAAAAGTATAAAAATGAAACTCAATTTCAACGAATAAGTTATATTAAATCGTCATTGTATCTAAATTTATCATAGAAATTTCATAAATATCTAAGCATAATACATGTGAAATCAATAAAATTTTCATGCACCAAGGTAAAGCTAGGCTTAACCAGTTTAATCCAATTCATCCATTAATCCTTAACCCACTTGCTTAAACGACTCATTGGTGGAATCGAGTGACAACTTTTGTCATAACAAATTAGACTGAACAAATTTGTTGTATATTTTTTAATGGGTTATAGGCATATATACTCCTCAAATTGTGGGTTCGACCTGAATAAATGTTTTTCCGCTCTAGGTCTCTCCCCCATTCCATAATTAGTAAATTAAAGTAATCCGGCCAACGGACCGGGTCAAAGCTAGGTTTATTTGGTTGCAATGGAGTAGCTCTGTGATGCTGCTCGTGTGGGTATGCGAAGACGAAGAAGAGGGAGATATGGTTAACACGGGGAAAAGACGGCCAAATCGTTTATGTACCCCTCGATTTTCCAGAAACCACCCTTGTTGGTGAAGAAACGCTGCTGCAGAGAGAAAGCAAACGTGGATGGAGATGGATTTTTTTGTTTTAATTGTATTGTTAAGTGAAAAAAAATATTAGGCCTAAAATTCCACGTCAAATGTCACATCGTCGGTCAAAATTTTGACTGCTAACTACTAACGGTCAAAGTTAAGGGAGACTAGATGTTGGGACATAACTGACGCATGACAAACATAGGAGGTATCAGTGACAGAAAGTCTAAACTATAGGTTCTTTTCTGGCGGTAGGTCAATAAAAAAAATTATTTATGTATTTGATGTTATCTTCAGCGGGGTGGACTGGATGCGAGGTTAGGTGGTGCAGTGTCTTTCCCTTTCAATTTCGATGGCGACCTCATTCTCAGCGGAAAATTGAGGATTGATATCCTTTCTCCATCTCAGAATAAATAATCCCTAATAAAGACATGAAAAAATTGAAGTTCAAATCAAAATAGAATGGAAGAATGAAGACACAAAACCAATAAATGGGGATTGGAAATCGGTGGAGGCCAGGGTGGGACGTGAAAGCCAGAAGTTGACAGAACAGAGGAGGAATGAGAGATGAGTCGGCGGAAACACGAATGGGAGAGGAGGAAAAAGAAGGGTCAATTTTGACATTTTTCATTCCTATTTTGCCGAGTCTAGATCGCCGGAATTGTGGTTCGGCCCATGGTTGACGGAATCTTAAACGTAGGGGGATATGTGATAATGTGCTTATAATACATGGGCAATTGTGATATGAAAAATAGTAGAGGGGCATATTTGATAAAATTACATAGTAGAGGGGTATATTATACCTAACCCTTTTTTCAAAAGATAATCATATATTGATTCACAGAAAATGCAGTTACATCCTGGAATTCAGCCAAGCCTAGAAACCAAAGAAACGACTTATAGTCGGGACAATGAAAGGGCCTTCTAGCCACCAAATGGGCTACCCAATTGCAACGCCGACCTACAAATCACACACTACGCCCAGAATGGAAGGCAAAATAATGCAGAATTTCTTCAAGAATAGCCCCCATCCGGTTATCACTAGTTTGGGCCCGATTGATCTTGTCAATGATTACTTTGGCATCTCCCTCAAATCTAACTTCCTTGAAGCCATGCTCAACACACCAACAAATAGCCTCCCGGAGGACAAGCAATTCGACCACCATAGGGTCATCAATACACGGAAACTGAACACCATTAGCCAACAGAATCTCCCTTGCTGGGGTCAAAAGCACCATCCCTCCTGCCGGGTGAGACCCACTCCGGGTAGCCCCATCCCACAGGCACACCACCAAATTAGTTCTCACAGGATTCAAGTGACGTGGCGACGGAACGGAGGGAGGAATAACTTGGTCCACCGGAAAACTTATTCATTCCTCATATTGTTGTTTAAATTGCCGCATCAAGGCAAGGATCCCAAACTGTTTCCCCTCGAAGACAACCCATTTTCGAGATCGTCAGATCCTCCAAAAGACAGCAACAAGGGCCCGATATGTAAATTATAAAGTGAGCTACTAATAAGAAGAAGAAAATTTGGATGGCTAATATTTAAAAAAATTGATAAACCGAATGAACAAACATGTAATACACTTAATCCAATTTAGAGACAAACCAAAAAATTGAGGTATAAACCTGCCTCAAAAGTCAAATAACTCAAACCTAATTTAGCCCATACTAAAATGGGTTTGGACACTATTCAAAAATGAAGAGATCATACTTCAAACGACCTTCACCTCATTGAGTTAACCCTTCTTCATTATTTCCAATTTTGCTTCTTCAACCATGGGTGGCCATTTGATAGGGTAGCGCTACACCAGTATAAGAAATGCAAAAGCACAAACACTTAACACCAACACAAGGTAAATTATCAGAATGATGATGCTTAGTTAGTTGAAATTATGAACTTGCTAATAAAAAGGAATGAGATGCTACCTTGAACTATATAGGAGATGTCACTTTAAATTTTGTATACGTTGTCTCTTTGTTGTAAGGATTCCCGAAAAAGTAGTGTGACAATGAATAAGGTATGTCAAATGATTTTTGTTTACACTCTAAACTGATGACCAAAGTTTTCAGTCGAGTAAAAGGAGAAGTCTGGGATTCAAATGATTCGTGAATCCTTTCAAGTATCTGGAAAAAAAAAACAGAATCATAAGGAAAAACATAAAAATTCATGACTTGAAACAATTAATAATCAATTTAACTCAATAATATTACTATTAAAATATGCTCCATTGGTCTTTTGTTGCATCTCCACTCAATCTAGGTTTTCAACTATATATATAACAATGAATAATACGAAAATTTACACGAAAATTAATACAATTAGCATGTATTTCTGAAACTCACTTGCTACTACTTTAGAAATTTGTTTAATAATCACTATTATTAAGACAATTTTTTTAAAGTAAATATGCATCTTTCTATAAACACTATATCATTTCAAAAAACAAATATGACTAATTTGATTATCGGAGTATAATTCAATATGAAACTGTGCCATATATATTATATATATACACCCAAAAATAGATAGTACACTACATAACAGATGAGATTCCTTGCTCCTAGAGGTAGAATAGAATAGATCACCTACCTTGACGGTATCCAAATGTAGTTCAAGTTTTCTTGCACTGTGCAACCCTTGAAACAATTTCATCAAACTCCCAGCGGCCTCCCTCACCGCCACCGGAGTTATCAACCAAGCCGAATCCCGATTCTCCGGAATGGCAAGATGACGATGGCCGGAGATCCGGACACAAGCGCGATCGAGGGAAGGCATATAATGTGCGTCACCAAACCCCGAACGCCACACCACATCCTTGTAGCACAAGGACTCGAGATTCGGTGCGAATATTTCCACCTCTGGCTCGACGTATTCAACGGTGAGATTCCGCAATTGGATCCCGGAGATTCTCACGGAAGCCTTGAAGCCGCTGTCGTCAACCACCCAGTACCACCGCACCAAGGTTAAATCCCTCAGGCAGGGGAAACCCGCGAACGGGTCGACCCGGCCGCTGCCCCGGTCGGTCAACATCTGACCACCATACGCATCGCAACCCTCCAGGTGCAGAGTGACGAGAGTTCTGAAAGCGTACGCCTTCGGTACAAAGCGCTTCCAGACATGTTCTGGGTAGCAATCGACTGTGCGCAAGCGTAGGAGGTTCCCGTGCGACGCGGCGTAGTCGAAGAGCCTCCCGTACATCAACCCCGCCTCGGTGAACGGGCTGGGCCACGTGTCCAATCGGAAGGTGATCTCCTCGATCCCGGCGGAATCGTGACGGCGGGAGAGGACGTGGGAGACGAATTGGGTGAAGGTAGGGAAGCTGTGGAAGGAACGCCTGTTGATATTGAGGGCAGGGACGCCTTTCCAGACGGATCTCCAACGGCGGGAGAGGAGGTTTGTTTCGACGGTGGTTTTGGAGTCGACGAAGGAGAGGATGCGGTGGAGGAGGTGTTCGGGAAGTTCGCTGAGCCGATCGTCCATTATTCGTCGTGTATTTGCCAATTGTCTTTCCCACCGATGATGTGAAGAGGTCTGCGATAAACAAGAGATTGCTTTGGGGTAAAATATTATATATAGAAAACGGGTTAATTGCATGGTTGGTCACTGAAATTACAAAAAACGTTCAAGTTTGGTCACTCGAAATATTTAAATCCACTTGTGGTACTTCAGTTTACTGAAACCGTTCACGTTTGGTCACTCTCCGTCCAACTCCGTTAACTTTTGCTGATGTGGCAGTCAACTCTCAAAGTTGACCGTTAACTTAATGACGTGGCAATTAAAAAAATTATTAAAAATAAAAAAATAAACTTTTATATTTTCCACCTCATTATTACATTCATTAAAAAATAAAAAATTAAAAAACCTAATTTCTTATTACATTCATTAAAATGCAGGACGAAACCTCCGCCACAGCCGCTGCCGACGTGGCGTTTTGCCCCAGCTTCAGTAGCTAATATATAAAAACTCTAATTTTATTGAGAAATTAATCATTTACATGTACGAAATTAATATCCCAAAAACGAAACAGAAAACAAAAGGAAACGGTAATTTGTTGAAGCCGTCCTCATGATCCAAGCTTGACTCCATCTGTTGGGATTCTCCTCCTTGTAATTCGAAACCAAAACAATAATAAAATCCCTAAAATGGAGTCAACGTAAACCGTTCACATTAGAGAAGAATCCGACGAGAAGCTCCTGACGGTAGGGCAGATACGACCGCCGCCGATCCCCATCTTTCAACGCTCTGCTCTTCGTATAAAACACCTCGTGTGCCGACGCCGCCGTTTTCGCAGCTCTTGTCGGCGACGGTTTCGCCGTCCGATCGGCTGCCGATTTCTCCTCACCCCTTTTCCCCAAATTAATTTCATTATTGCTGCTGTTGCTATTATTACTGCCGCTACTGCTGGCGCCAGCAGTGTTTGGCTGGACCATCAAGTAGCACACCTTCCCGTCGCTGCTCGATCTACGCAGCAAATCTCGTAGCCTCCACCGCCGCTTCGTCGTCGGGGCCGAAGATCCGGTGTAATTGCTCTTCTCGCATCTACCGGGAGAAGGCGACGCTCCGGTAACCGACGACGGGGAAATAATTTTTGGCGTCCAGACGCAGTAGCTCCCTTCTGGCGCGCCTTCCAATTTGTCTGCTTCCGACGAGGAAGAAGAGTACGACGACTGCTGATCTCGATCGTCCATGAACAACTCGCTCAGCGGGCGCAGTATCGTTTCGGCCGCTGCTAGAGCATCGCTGCTCTGTCCCTCAGCGTCGCCGGGAAATCGATCTCGGTTGAACACCGGGTAGAAAACAGGGGAGACCAGTATTTTAATGAATGTAATAAGAAATTAGGTTTTTTATTTTTTTTATTTTTTAATGAATGTAATAATGAGGTGGAAAATATAAAATTTTATTTTTTAAATTTTAATAATTTTTTAATTGCCACGTCACTAAGTTAACGGTGAACTTTGAGAGTTGACTGCCACATCAGCAAAAGTTAACGGAGTTGGACGGAGAGTGACCAAACTTGAACGGTTTCAGTAAACTGAAGTACCACCAATGGATTTAAATATTTCGAGTGACCAAACTTAAACGTTTTTTGTAATTTCAGTGACCAACCATGCAATTAACCCTATAGAAAACCTAAACACTCTCCCTACAGGTTGTGGAATGCAAAGATTTCGCTTTGTCACCTTTACTATAAATAAAAAAGAGAGGGGTTGCTTTTATTACCTAGGGTTTAAGTTTCAACTTCTTGCCTCAATTAGATTCTAAAAATCAATTCGATTTCTGTCTTTTTGAAGATTAAGAGGTTAATTGATACTTCACAAATTACAAAGAGCAAAGGTTATATGATGACAAAGAGCAAATGATTAAGAGCCAAATAATTAGGGTTTATCCTTATTTGTGCGATAAGGTGGCATTACAGGTGGTGCTACTCGTATGGATCTAGTTGCATCCCCATTCAGATCTTAACAAAATTATTTTGTCTCTTTATTCTTAGAAACTAACAAAATTGTCCATTTAGTGGCATAAATGGCTCTTTCATCGTTAGTTTAATTAGTATCGACTGACGTTATTTTTAGCATTATAATCATATTTGTCTTCATCTGAATATTATATAAAAGGTTATATGCAGCACAGTAACTAGGAACGGTCTGGAAAAAGGATGAGTAACCAAGTACTAATTAGGTACGACTAGAAGGAACTATGGCAAAGAGGTCAAATAGGGTTTGACACTAGAAGAACCTTTTAAGTTTGAACAAGTAATCGGCCACCTTGTAATGTATGTCGTTTGACCGCAGCTTCTATTGCTTCAATCGGGTAAAGGAAGTACCATAACAGAACAGAAACCAACTCAAATTCTGGGGGCAACCTTTCAATTTAGATTAACTGCATATCAAAACAAAGTATACCTTGATACCTTGATGATTTCAGAATGCCGCGTCAGAGATACTACATTACACAAACCTCTGAACAAGGAGATCAAGCGTTGCTTCTCCCATTCAATGGCGTTGCCGTCCTCTTCATCATCGTTGTCATCCAGGGGATGTACCAAAATATCAAGCATGATCAAGGGAAGGAACACTTAAATCTAAGGATTCCAAGGATATGAATTTGTGTTCCCTGAAATGGAACGACTTGAGTTTTGGGGCGAACACTTCACGATAGATTTGAGCAACAAGCTAGGTAATTCTAGCCTGGAAACCTTGAAACGCCTTTCACGCATATCATCAGTAGGCATATTAGTGCCTTGTTTCACAGCCACATTTTGAAGACACGGGAAGGTAGAGAACAGAGCAATGTCATCCTTCTCCTGACCAAAAGACAGCACACAATAGTCCAACTTCAATGAGGTCAGCATCCGAAAACCGAAAAACCTGAATCCACTATCGATGGCGAGGAAACCTAATTCTAACCTTCTGAGATTGCAATTGGAGGAGCCGAACAAATCATAGACTCGGTAATAGTGATCGACATCCAAACCATGGTCCAGTCCAATCAATAAATGTTTTGTATCATGGAGCAAGGCATACTCGATGACCCTAACGAACTAATCATCATCTGCTTCCTCTGAACAGTCCATCCACCACTCCCTTCTATCTCGCTCTGATAAATAGCTCGACTTGTGGACATTAACCGGATAACAAAGTGACAGAACCTTGTCAACATACCTTTGGAAAACTCGAATGTTGCCCGAAGGATTTGCCACAAAAATTGAGAACCAGGACGTGTTTCCAAGTGCATCGCCATACTCAGGACAACACAGAGGTCTGGACGGCCGATTTGGTGTCCAGAAACGAAAAGATGTGATAGATAACAGGTTCTGGGAGACGGGCTGATTTTGTGTCCAGAAACAAAGCTACATTTGATGGAAGAAAGTACGAATCATATCGCTCGGAACTAACAGATTCGGAAATGGTGCTACTTCTACAACTGTACAGCCATCACCATGCACTGGAAAAGCAGGACCAAGAAGGGCATTTCAACAGCTCTATCTGGTTTGCTAAGGACAGCTCCTCTATTGTATATGAACCACCCTGAACCATCACAGGCTCCAATCTTGATATTATATGATAACGTTGTTCTTTGCTGTACATAGTTTCCTCACACATTCTGCATCCTTGTGATATCTGCCCCAGAACCATTATTCTCAGATGCAAGACAGCTCAATCGGCTTATCTAATAGATCAAGAGACTGAGACAGATTCATACTACAGAAAGGAACAAGTTAACCTATTACAAAGTGGCAAAGTGATTCAAAACATTCTGTTAATCAAAACAGTGAGTAAAGGGAGACACTGACCAGTTGCATACACGGATGAGAAACTTGGCAAACTGGTCAATTACCACTAGGGCTAGATGAATTCAACATTTGGACTCGTACTAGAAGATCCTTTAAGAAAGTAGTCGACGTGTTCGTAAGGTACACTCTCCGAATCCAGAATCAAGGACTTCAATCTTGTAAAAGGAGATGGCTGATCTTCCCAGACCCCATGAAATTCACTCATTAGCTGCATAGAGAACAGAAACGTCAAAGGTGGGTGATACCATCATAAGGGAACGCTTAACACTTGATATGCAAAGAGTCAAAAGCGCTACCTGAAGGGTACCCCCATTCAGCTTCAAAGATTTTGCATTCTGCAAACATTGGAACATGGAGATCAGCCCAAGCATTATGAGTTCCTTTTTCTCTCCATGAACAAAACCCTGCTTGACCTTGTGGAACCCAATATCAGCATAATCAAGGGACGGTAGGCTTAAATCGGACAACCTTATGTGTCCCACGTAATCCAAAAAACTGAAGAATTCCAGCTTTGGTGCATATATGTCAATTTTGTCAAACACAGCACATTCCAGTTTCAAGCTAAGCAATTCGAGTCCGTGTATCTTTATACGTCTTTGAGTATTAGTATCACTATCATCACAACAGAGACAATCAGCCACGACCAAATGCTTCAGACAAGGAAAATTAGAGAAAGGTTCCAAGACCACCTCCTCATCACCACAGGCAACAAGACAAGTCACCAGTTTCAAAGTAGTCAGCATCCGGAAACGAGGAGATCTGAACCCAATATCCAGGTAGAATCCTCTTAATTTCAGGGTTTTGAGATTGCAGCTCGAGATCCAGCCAAACAAATCGGAGGAATTGTAGATGTCCAGGGTAGTCAGATCACTTTCAGTGGCAATCGCTAAATGCTGAGTATCATGGGATAAGGCATATCGGATGACCCTAATCACCAGAAGATCGCTTCTTCCATCCCTAAGCTCATAATCGACGAATCTGACCTTATGGAGACTCAGGGGATGACGAAGGCACAAAACCTTGTCCACATACCTGTGGAAACTCGAGTAAAGTTGGAAGGAGCCTTGATGGAAGTTCAGAACGGGGACATGCTTCCAGGCGAATCTCCACAATCGGGACAGCACTGAGGTCTGAACGGCCAATTTGGTGTCGAGAAATGAAAGGATGTGATGAATAACGGGCGCCGGAAGATCGCTTAACCTGTCACGGCGTCTCTCCTTCCCTATTTCCTTGCTTCCGTTCATTAGCTTTTCTGCCTGAGACCGACTACTGATAATTTCGATTCTGAGAGCCTGAACTGGATAAACTCAAAGGATGAGAACCAGGAAAACAACTCAAATCCTCAGGGAAACTCGAGCGTTACCGTGGCAATAAAAGGGGCCTGGGTCGGAAATGAAGGGATGGATGATTGTTTCATTTTACAAACGAGACAATTAAAACCAGGTAATTTGAATTATTTATCTCCACCCAGACAATTGAATCACAATTTGTTTTTATATATTCTAAATATAAATGAGGTTTGAAATTAAACTCATTGATTACACTGTTGTGTACTACTGTATTTATCAAATGGTGTTCCGGATATAAAAATTAATTAACCGATACCCTTCATTTTTTCCGAGGAATGAATGGGATTTATTCATCAAAATACAATCGAAGAGTTACAAAAAATCGGCTATACAATGTGTACAGTTTTACCAACTTAAATCAAAGGCGTTTCAGTCTACAAATGATCCATTCAAAACTTTAATAGAGTCCAAATTTCAGGGGTCCCATAAAGGCTGGTTCTCAGTTTCCTCAGCAAACTTCTGATTGGGAATGCTCATTGTACAGAGCTTATGGGTTTGAACTTTAATTATGCATATTCTTTTTACGAAATGAAGAACTTTTCAATTAATTGTGAATAACTTTCAATTCAGTCCCCACACAAAATCACACAAGAGCAGCACTGAAAGGAGGGAGGTTGTTTCATTGTTATTTTACAGTAGCCAGTACTAGTTTCTAACCAGCATGGTTGTCACGCCGGCCGGCGTACCACCGGTTGTACCTGGTTCAACCGGTACCGGTCATAAAACCGGCATGACACCACCGGTATGACCGGCATGATCGATATACGAATCTCTAAGTAAAATGATTTTATTTTAGTGAATTTAATTGATAAAAGTTATTTTATTATTTATTTTATGAGTATAAAAGTTAAATATTGATGTTATTTGTTGGATTCAGGTATAAATGTTTAAGTATTGACGTTAAATGTCATGTTTAAATATGAGTATTTATAATTTTATTTGTAATATTGACCGGCATGAACCGGCACAAACCGGTATGTGCCACCGGTTGAACCATTCCACTAGCTAAACCGGCACACTGGCATAAACCGGTTTGACAACCTTGCTAACCAGCCATTTGTTGTTGAACCTAGTAGTTTGCCTTCAGTATGATGGACCTATTGAATGATGATGACAGGCCAGCCATTACTCCAGTGCCGAAGGGCGCGACCTGCTGTGTACAACAATCAGAAACTATGGAGATGTGGTACTTCATCTAGCCAAACTCAACTATCGGTTCTGCAAAAGAAGTTCCCTTCAGAAAGTAATCAACCACTGCGTAAGGTACGTTGTTCGAATTCAGATTCAAATGCTTCAATCTTGTAAAGGGAGATGGTTGCTTTTCCAGAACCTGATCAAAATCACTCAGTACCTGCAGAACGGGGGGGAACCAACTTAACACCGGAGGTCAATTTCCTAGAACAAACCAAGTCAGTACAGTACCCACATACTAATCCCATTACATACCTGGGCGATGCCATGGAGGGTAAGAGTTTCTGCATTATGCAAACCTTGGAACAAAGAAATTAAATGTTGTTCCACCCATTCCTTCTTCTTCGCCCCATAATCGGGATAAACATGAACCACAGCGCTATCTAGAGAGGCAAGGCTCAATTCTGGGAAGTCCGAGGAATTATCCGAATCTTCAAAAAGATGGAAGCGCTTGAGTTTTGGGGCAACTATTTCGATCTTGGAGAAGCTCATACTTTGGAGGTTCAGGCTAAGCAATTGGAGCCCGTAAACCTTCAAACACTCCTCACTCATATGATAAGGTAAGACATTGGTGCAATCTAGGATTGACAAATTCTGTAGACAAGGGAAGTTAGAAAAGAGGTCCTCCTCCTCTTCAAAAGACACCGGGCACCACCGTAAGCTCAATGTGGTCAGCATCTCGAAACCAAAAGATCGAAATCCACTGTCGATGGCGACAGATTCTAGCACGAGGGTTATGAGACTACTATTTGACCTCGGTGAAAACAAATCTGAGAACCTGTGAAATTCTTCCACTTCCAGGTCACTGTGCAGGTCCATTGCCAAATGTTGAGCACCACGGCTCAAGGCATAGTCGAACACCCTGGCAAATAAATGAACGTCTTGTTCCTCCGAATCGCCATTATCAGCGTAGGATACCTTGCGGACACTCGAGGGGAATTGGAGGAACAGAACGTGGTCCACATATATCTGGAAGCTCGAGTATTGTTCGAAGGAATCACTATGGAGCCTAAGGACAGGGACATATTTCCAGGCGCATCTCCATTCTCGGGACAACACGCAGGTTTGGACGGCATATTTGGTGTCTAGAAATGAAAGTATGTGATGAATAATGGGTCTTGGAAGGTGGCTTAACCTGTCGATAGCAGTAGTATCTTCTACTTCTTCTCCTTCTTGACGTCGCCTTTTTCCAGCTTTCGCCAACTCGCATCCAGAGCTGTTGTTGTTCATAGCCTTTCTATTGGAGCCCAACTACGGAGGAGTTCGATTCTGGGAAACCTAAGAAGATAAATGGAAGAATTAAGAACAGAAACTCAACAAGAAATGAATCAGAACACACGAATTCACAAGTTTTCGACGATTGTTACCTGGCGAGAGAAGTTATCGTCTCCGTGCAATGGAAGAATCACCTCCGCTGCAGCGAGCGCCCAAACTGCGATGAGCCTTGGGGCCGGAATCGCCGAAGGCTGAAGCAGAAACGGAGAGGACTAGAGAGGAAATGCGTGCGTTTGTAGGGAGGAAAACCACATTTCAGCCATCGAGATTTTTAGGGTTTCGTTCCGATGGCAATGGAGTTCAGGGGAAAACGCCCTGGGGGTCATTTGGATGTAGGTTTTTAATTTGTGGGATTTGAGAGAGATTTTGGCCCAAATTACTCGATTAAAAACCCAGGTTTTTAATATGTGGAATTTGAGTGGGATTTAGGCTAATAGAATGAGGAGGGTAAAGTTGGATTAGCACAAAAAGAGCATGGGCATTTATGGAACAAAATGACCAAATATTGTGGGATTTCAAAATAGCTGATGGTCATCAGCTATTTCACAATCCCACAATTGTGGGTTTCTGAAATCTCTAATGTTTAAAATCTCTCATCGTATAAACACTTTCCAAATGAGTAATTTTGATTAAAATCCTGCACTGTGTGGGATTGTGCCCAAATCCCACACCCAAAACCTGCATCCAAATGACCCCCTGGAGTTTGGAGGGGAATGGTTACAAAATTGGCTTTTTATGAATGACCTCACCTCTATTATTTTTTACATCAAATATATCAATTATTACATCAAAGTTATTTATTTAAACATGTCAATTTCTGTAAAGAAATAAATTGTCAGCCATGATTCAACTGTGGTTTGTGGTTAGGATGATCTAACGAAGTTCATTCACTACTGAGTCTACACTTGGATCGACTCCCACTTCGACAACCGAACGAGAATAACGACGGGTTCAACACCGACAACCTGATTTTCATCAACACAGCAAACTCCTCTTCCATGGCATTGATTTGAAGATCGGCGAGCCAATTTCCGCGTCAGTCAACTATGACCACGTTGTAGACATGAAGGTTACATGGAACAACAAAGTGTCCCCATAATAGATATGAAAATCAACCGTTGGGACATATTCCAAAACACGTCACCACATTCGCAGCAACATAGAGATCTAAAAGATCTTTTTAAGCGTTGAGCTATCAAAACCCAATAAACGGATTAACATACCAAAGTGATTCATCAAAACATCTGTTTAAGGGAAGCAAGAAAAAAGAGGACTACGACCATTCTAGATAACTTGAAAAAAGCAAAAACACCAACCCATTGCATTACATTATCAGAATATTTTGCAAAGTGGTCAGTTTACTATGTCTAGACATACTTAACAGTCGGTCTTTCACCAGAAGATCCTTTAAGAAAGTAATTGACGAGTTTGTAAGGTACTCTATCAGCTTCCGAAATCAATGACTTCAACCTCTTAAATGGAGACGGCTGCTCTTCCAAGACCCCGCAAAAATCTTTCAACACCTGCACAGGATAACAGAAATCCAACTCAAGAACTAAATGCATGGTACAGTGTACACACTTGCATAACCGAAGTGCTGAAAATGACACAAGCAGGAGTGGTACCTCAACAGTCGCCCAATACAGCTTCAAAGATTTTGCATTATGCAAGCCTTGGAACAGAGTCATAAACTGTTGGTGCACTAACTCCTTGTTGTCCTTGACGAAATCGTGCTCGTCGCAGACCCAGATATCAGCATGATCAAGGGACGGAAGTGTCAGATTGGACAATGTCAGGTACTGAACGTCGTGCCAAAGAACGAATCGTTCGAGCTTTGGCGCATAAACTTCAACACTGGGGAACTCCACACAACTCAGTTTCAGGCTTAGCAAATGGGGTCCATTAATCTTGAGACCTCTCTTCTCAGCATCGAGACACTTCTGTAACGGGATGCTATCATAGAGGACCAAATGCTTCAGACAAGGAAATTTAGAGAAAGGATCGAGAACTTTCTCCTCTTCCTCTTGCTCGGAAAACAGGAAACAACACTCCACAATCAAAGTGGTCAGCATTCGAAAACCAGCAGCTCCGAGCTCACTGTCCAGCGTCACATATCGCAACTCTAGGGTTTTGAGCTTGCATCCCAAGACCTCGTAGAACAAATCGGAGCATCTTTTATGCTGTTTGAACTCGCTTGCTTCCCCAAAGTCGATGGATAAATGTTGGACATCACAAGTGGAAGCATATGCCAATACTTTGTCGAACACAATGGAATGTTGCTGTTTCCAGGAAGCTCCATCGTCGACGTAGCTAAGCTTCTGGATATTTCCGGGATGCCGGCCACACAAGAATTTCAGAACGTGGATTGCGAAAACCAAAAATCGTTTGAATGAATCCCGAGTGAAATTAAGGACAGAGATGTGTTTCCAAGTGGATCTCCACCGCTGGGACAATACGGAGGTTTGAACGACCGATTTGGTGTCCAGGAACGAAAGTACGTGACAAAGAATCGGGTCTGGAAGAGAGCTTAACCTGTCAATGGCAGCAGTATCACCTGCTTCTTGTTCTCGGCACCTTTTTCTGCCTTTTCCAATCGCGCCATTGTTGTCCATAGCTTTTTGCTGAAGGCAATCACAGACAAGACAACTCCCGATTAAGAAGCCACAACGGGCGAAAAGGATGAATCAGAGAATTGGAGAGAACAGGAAACTATGGCAATTTGACCTGAGGAAAGGCAAGCTGCATTTTACAGATTTAGGGTTCCGTTTTGGCGGGAGTCCAGATGGAAAATGCCGGGAAATCAGAGGATTGGGAGATGCAGAACGGTTTTTTTTTTCTCTTTTTAATTTGTTTTGGGCGTGCCCTGTGAGTCTGAGTTAATAGGCCATGACCCATCGGTCCAGACTCCAGAGTCCAGACAGTCACGACAGGGATGGCAGTTGGGTCAGATTCAGATGCATAGTATGCCAGTAACTACAATTGGTAATGGACAAAAATTGATTGGAAAATCATGTACATGAAGTGACCGTCAAAATTAAGGTTGTCAAACCGGTTTATATCGTTGCGTCGGTTTGATAAGTGGAATGGCACGACAGATGATACAACCAGTTTGTGCCGGTTCGTGTCGGTTTAACAAAATGTGTAAAAATGTGAATATCATTAACATGCAATGAATTTAATCATATGTAAAACATATTTGAGGACAATTTACTTACGGTCTAACAAATAACGTCAATTTTTTACTTCTAAATTCACAAAAATAAATAATACATAAACTTTTTTTTTATTATGTAAATTCACTAAAATAACATCATTTTACTTAGAATTCGTAAATCAATCATGTCGGTTATACCAACAGTGTTCATGCCGGTTTCATAACCAGCTTGACTGAACCAGGCTGAACCGACCAACGCGACAACCATGGTCAAAGCAACAACAAATGGTCAAAATTGATAAAAGAGTTATCAATAGGAGTACCCAATTTTCTGTCTATAAATAAGTTTGTTGTGAACAAATTGTGATATGAGTCTAACGTAATTGGATGAATTGAATTGTTTCATATTTATTGAATCATAATTGACATGTATTGTGCAATTAAATGAGCTCCAATAACCATAATTGTATACATGTTGTCATGTTGATTGGTCAAACAAACCCCGCTTTGTAGAACAGAGAAACAAGGCAGCCAGCCAGCCAGCCAGAGTTGACTTCTAGGTTTTCTATGCCCATTCCATGTCTTATTATCGAGACCTGCGAATGTGTGAGGCCTAACAGTTCGCTTTAATGGTTTGACAGTACTGATATTAATGCTAATAAAGGCACCAAGGCACGAAATTGGTCAATGTTTGCTACTTCGACCCATACATCTCTTATCTCCGATTATCGCAATTGACATTAAGACAGGACTAATGAATGAGCTGATACGAAATTGCTATACACAAGGTTCCCTGCTATATCTGCTAATCATAAGAAAGCAATGGTTATAGACAGGTACATCCAAAAGAAAATTAGTTACTGTAATTGTGGTTTGGATATTGGAAGGTTACTAGGTTTGACATGCACAGTAAATAGATAACAGCAGCAGGCTGAATTTCCCTGATAGCAAAATGCAAGTGATCTCTTCTAGGCTCTAGCAGGCATGGTGGGTAACAACAACAAAGGAACCACATGACCAAAACGATTCTCAAAGCGAACCAATAGTCAACTGACACTTCAGAACTTGCAAACTGAGCAGGTCATACATGCTAATCGGAGCAATCTATCATTAAGAATAACTACTAAGTGACATAAACATTCCTGACTTACCTGAGAAAGAAAGAGAGAAAGAGCTAACTCATTGCGTCATGTAAGAAACCAACTCGTTGTATCATACAAGAAACCAAGGCACGGCAGTCGGCTCATCGGATTCTAAAGGAACTCGAGCTTTGGTTCTGGACATGAAGTTCCTTTAAAAAAGCAATTGACCACTGCATGTGGTAAACTGTCAGCCTCCACAATCAAGGACTCCAATCTTGTGAAGGTAGATGGCTGCTGTTCCAGAAGCTCATAATTTTTGCTCAATACCTACAAAGAACAAAAGCCAACTTAGCATGTAAGAAATAATATTCTTGGGAAGGAACACCGGCATTGCCAATATACAACAACATCGACTAAGGAATACCTGAATGATATAGGAATCCAGCAGGAGAGATATCACATTACTTAAACCTCGGTACAAGGATAACACATGTCGAATCAACAATTCCTTGTTATACACGTACGAGTAAGTGGAACCCAACGAAATATCAGCATGATACAGGGAAGGCAGGCTTAAGTCGGAAAACTTCATCATTCCATGGACAATAAGAAATTTGAGTTTCGGTGCAACTATTACAATCCTGTAAACGGACACGTTATACAATTTCAGCCTACCCAGTTGTGGTCCAGATATCTTGACAGCTGATTCGTGGTAGCAACCTTCCATGGTTAAATTCTTCAGACGAGGAAATCGAGGAAAGGGAACAAGGTCCTCCGGACCAGAGCTCAGCATGCAGTTCGTAGATGTAGAGTTGTCAGCAGTCCGAAACCAGAAGATCCAAATCCGTTGTCAAGATTAACCCATTTTAACACTTAGAGATTTGAGATTGCAGATCAAGTTTGAGCCAAACAGTTCGACGAATTCACAACTGCGCCCCCATTCCCTAGGGCTTTCCAGGTCAATAAATAGATACCGAGCAGCATGGGATAAAGCATATTCGATTACCTTGGGACACATACTAGCACATCGTTCCTCCTCGGAATTAATACTGTCTTCAGGGTCGTTGTGGGTTTGGTAACTGACCTCCCAGACAGTAAGGTTATGGCGGCGGGACAAAACATCATCCACAAACATTACGAAACTCCAATATTCTTGGAAGTCATCACTACGCAGACTGAGGACAGGGACATGTTTCCAGGCGAACCTCCATGCCCGAGACAATACAGAGGTTTGAACAGCCCATTTGGTGTCGAGGAACGAAAGGATGTGATCAATAAAGGGTTCCGGAAGATGGCTTAACCTGTCAGTATTCAGTAACACTAGTAGTAGTGTCTACTTCTTTCAGGGTCCTTTTTCCAGCTTCCCCTAATTTGCATTTGTCCAAGTTCATCGCTTTCTTCTGGATAATTGCAATTCTGGGAACCAAATCAACGAGCAAGAATTCACCTGCTTTTTCGGATAATTACACATGCAATCGATGGAGGGCGAAGCAGGAAGATAAAGAGGACGATAAAGCTAGAAAAGTTAACTTAACCGATGTTAGGGTTTCGTTGCCTGACAAAACTCGAAAGAGGGAGGGGAGATGCAGGGGAATGGATTGAATGACAAAATCTTCGGGCTTTTAAATTTTAACTGGCCTACAAAAGACCCAATAAGTCCTCTAACTTTCACAATCTGGTAAAGCCACACCCGTAATTTTTCATTCGGAGGTGTATGTAGAAGTTAGCTCGACTGTGTGCTAATGGTGTTAAATGATTAAGACCATAGAAGAGAGCACGAACCTTCCAACATAATTCACTAGACGTCCCGCACATGGCCCTGCAATCATTCTTGAGGGTCGAGAATTCCAGGCTGAGATATCACTTAGTTCTGCAAATCAACTCCCTTCTCCAAATTTGTGTAGTCTATAGAGAAAAGAAGCAATATTGATAAGAAAGTCGGAAAACCATGTCATTTTAATCCATCACATTGTTCAAAGTGAAATAAAACATTGACATGTATGCAATGGCATGACTCATGAGAGAGGGAAGGAAAGAACTTCAAAGAAATAATGAGCAAGATTTCTTCATTGAAAATTGTAATACAAACCCTTACACCATTGATTGAACTCCAGGCCTACTATAACCAAGCTAAATGAAGCTTTGGAAACATGAGTCAGATGGGATAAAATGGAAGCTAAAGTACATTTTCTACCAACAATAAAACAATAATGGAAGTCGCTTTGATGGATGCAGTAGCAAAGTTACCCAGCTACGAAGTCATCCATGCCATTGATGATTTGATATGTCTGTAGAAAGCAACTAAGGCCACCATGAAAATACAGTAGCATTCAAACGCAGCAGGATAGAGTTGAAGATTTAGCAATCCTGCCCCTTTTATTGCTCGGGAACTTTCGTACAGACATTGGCGAAAGTGATGAAGTCAAGAGTCTGAACGCAAAGACATGTGAGCCGAGGGAATGACAATGACACAAAACTTCCAACGCCACAGCAAAACACCGTCAATCATCAGATACAAAGTCACTAAGACCATAAATACTGAACAGGCAAGAAACCGTACGACATGTACATATTCACAAATTCCAGTATTCTGGTTCTGTAATGGAATGGCATCCCATCATCATGTTAGAAACTCACCACACACTATTCAAACATACAAACTGGCAATACCAGCACATACATACAACTTAACTTCAGCAGTAGAGCCCACATTAGAACATAATTCAGTTTACCTGGCACAGAACTAACGTAGGATTAACCTCCCTAAGGGGCACTTTCTATAGAAGCAAAGGCAGAAAAAAGAAACAGCAGCTCCAAGCTCCTTGGCAGGTATAAAGATAAGACTCGTAGTTGTCGAAGCAGCCCAAAACAGCTTGCGTCTTTCAGAAACCAAGAGGCATAACAAAGAACCACAAAACAACTCATGGTTATCAAATAAGTCAACAGGTCCATTGAATGAATTAGAACAATCTGTTAAAAGCAAAAATAACTGAGTGTATGTGTGATGATTCATTCCCAAGTGACTTGAAAAGAATGGAAAAACCAACCTGCTAAATCCAACGATCAAAGACCATGGCAAAGCAGTGAATTCCTACATCCGCAACAACTCAACTTTTGGTTCTACAGTGGGTCCTTTGAGAAAGTAGTTGAGCACTTTGTGAGGCAGATGTTTGGACTCTAGAAACAAGGACTCCAATCTAGTAAAGGGAGAGGGTTGTTCGAGAAATCCATCAAAGTCGCTCAACACCTAACCATAAGAAAACAAACTTAAATGTAAGGTTCTACATTTCTTGCAAGAAAACTATTGCATCCGAGTAAACTTTCTACAACAAAAGTATACCTGAGTGGTCCAGGAGTGCAGCGCCAGAGATTTTGCATTACGCAAACCCTCAAACAAGGCAGTCAAATGTTGCTCCACTAACACCTTTCTACCCTCCATGGAAGGATCAAAAACTTGAATATAGGCATGATCAAGGCAAGGAAGGTCGAAAGTTGAAAAACCTGCAGGTGTCCCATCACTCCAAAGGCTAAAAGACTTGAGTTTTGGAGCAAATATTTCAATCTTGCTAAAACCCATATCTATGAGTTTCAGGCTAATCAAATTGAGTCCAGAGACCATGAGACTCTGTCCAGAGATGCAAAGGCAATCATTCAACACAAGATTCTCCAGACAGGGGAATTTAGAGAAAGGATCAGCATCCCATTTCTTATTATGAGACAGCATACAGCGGTTCAAATCTAAAGTCGTCACCCACCGAAAACTAGGGGATTCAAACCCACGATCCAGTGCAACACCTCCTAGTTCCAGTGTTTTGAGAGTGGAGTTCGAGATTGAGTTGAACAGCTCAGAGAATCTGAAATTTTCTTTAGCATAATCTTTCAATTCAATGACTAGATGTTCGGTGTCATGAGAGGCCGCATATTCAATGGCCCTAATCAACCGAATACGGTCTCTATCCTCTGACCCCTCATCGTCTGTGTAGCTGATCTTGCGAGCATTATGGGGATACCGGAAAGATAAAACCTTGCCCACAAACCTACGGAAATTACAATATTCTAGAAAGGAATCTCGGCGAAGATTGAGGACAGGGATATGTTTCCAGGTGAATCTCCATGAGCGGGACAGTACGCAGGTTTGAACAGCTGATTTAGTGTTAAGAAATGAGAGGATGTTCGAAAGAATGGGTTCCGGAAGAATGCTCAACCTGTCAGTAGGAACAGTAGTACCTTCTTCTTCACGGTGCCTTTTCCCAGCTATCCCTAACTCGCGGTCGTTGTCCGTCGTTGCATTACCACCGGCAAATTTCTCCATTCTAGGAACCCTAAAAATAGAGGAAATGTGAATATCAGAAACAGAAATTCAACAAAATAAAGAATCCGCAAGCGCGAATTCGCAATTCATCACTTTATCAAACAAAGGAAACACCGAATTCACCTGTTCTTGATGATGATTACAAGGAGAGACGCGGGCCGGCGTTTTCCAACCCTAAGACCGATTCGATGGATCAATCCCACAGCTTCATTAGAAACTCCTCACAGTCTGGTGACTGTAGCTTGAATATTGAAGAAGACGAGAGAAGTGTGTGGACATTTCGCGCGATTTTTAGGGTTTCATATGGAAATAGGCAGGTCAGACCGTCAGAGGGAAAATTCACGGGAATAAGTTTAAAATTAAATTAAATACCGATTTTCCGAATTTACAACTTTCGAGCTATCTATATTAGCTTGACTTGAATCAGCCTAGTTATTCTGCTAACTTGAAAATTCGTTAGTATATACTAATTAATATCCAAAATATATGAACTAATATCCAAGTCTGCTGAGTATCTAGATAACACATACTAGTATTCAAAACATCACAAACTAGTATCCAGATAGCAGATACCAACTAATACCCACAATCAACCAACTAGTATTGAATATGGATACTCTTATGTGTTATCTGGATACTATTAAGTGTTATCGGGATACTAATTATGTGTTATATGGATACTATTCTGTGTTGTCTAGATATTAGTTTGTGAATTTGGGATAATAGTTGATTCATGGTGGATATCAGTTAGCAAACTTTGAATACTAGTCTGTGCTCTCTAGATACTTTAGTACTTGGATACTAGTTCATGTATTTTGGATATCAGTTAGTATCTGCTAACGAATTTTCAAGTTAACAGATTAACTTTCCTCGACTTGAATGGCCAAAAAAGCCAATGGCTCATTCAATTTTCAGGTTTTTCCATAGGGCTCCGATAAATTATCATTTGGGCCAAATCAATCCTTAAATAATTTAAACTTTGTCAATGAAATTAATAGATATTTTAAAAAAATTACTTACAAGAAATCATAATGTTCTTATACTGATCGGTTAACTCAATCATATTGTAAGGTGTTCGATCCGTACTCATGATAATAAGCCTGATTGGGTGACTACAATAACATATTATATGGCTGCAGAGAGTTGGCTTGCAATCCTGAGAAGGAAACTGCTGCCCAGGAGAGATGAGACCATGTGACGATCCTGATTTGGCTGCCATGGTGTCCTTTGATCAGGCTTCAGTCTCCTTTTGTCCTCCCCTTGTTGCTATTTGTTTGTCGTTTAATCGTTTTGCTGTTTGTTGTTCGTTTTGTTTGCTCTGCTTATTTTTGTCTCTGTAACTTCTTTAACTATCTAATTGAGGTCACCATTTTTCAAAAAAAAACAAAACATATTATAAAGGCATTTGCCAATTTGAACTTTAAAATCTTTATTAATTACTTAAGGTTTGAATATCACATTTGTTATCGGTAATGACAGATTTTCTTAGTGAGCTCAAAATTTTTAGTGGTTACTTGTGTACCATATACCATCAGGGAATCTTGTTTCCGGCGTACCCATCAAGAAATTCCACGCAGAAATAGATTACTTTTCAAGTCAACCACCAAGCATTACTTAATTACAAGCTTGGAAGTTGCTCTTCGATTAGCAGATTTTACCCCTGCAAAGAAGTTCTCATGCTCTCTTATCATTGACATGCTTCCACTTTATTGTCAATTCTCCCTCCAAAGAAATAGAAGTCACGTCCTACAAAAAAAAAAATTAGAAGTCACACGAGGTGAAAACATCGGTATTCGGATTGCAGAGCCGGATAGAGGTTGATCTAGTGATCGTGAACCTTTTGTTGCAAGCAAGCCATACTTTAGAAGATTTGGACAGAACAATGGACAAAAGTTGCGAGGTTCGAGAGCCAGAATGCTAGGACTCGAAGACTTCGAACGTGCAGTAGAAAGGAAACCAAGACTTCATCCCACCAAAGCAAAACATGCTCAATCATCAAGTAGAAAGCCACTAGCTAGTAAACCTCACAATTGCAGTGCAGGCCGAAAACAGCACCCACTAAAACGAATTCCACAGTAAACATTCAAATCTATGTACAATATATATAGACATTCATAACGTTTGGTCCCAACTGTAAATCCAGATAGCTAATTCTGCAACAAGACATAATGGAGTGGCATCACTTAATTACACCATGTAAGATGACACTTCACCGTACATGATCCAGACATTTAAACTGGCAATACAGCAGCTGGCCATCTTTCAACTTCAGCAATAGAACCCAGTTCAGAATAGAAGTCGATTTATCTGGCACCAAAATAAGATAGCATTAGCCTTTCTAGGGGGCTGCATTACGAGGCCAAGGCCGAAAGGCGAAAACCCAGCAGCTTCAAGCTCCTTGGCAGGCGACAATTGCAACAACTACGAACCCGCCTGTCTAAAAGATATGAACAAAAATAAACAACAAACCACAAGACAAATGATTACCAAATGTATAGAGAGATCAACTGGAACAGAACTATCTTTTACTATTCCTAAGTGACTTGAAAAGAAACAAAATACAAACCAACCTGCCGAGGAGAAACTATGGCAGTGCGGCTAACGTGGGGAGAAACTTGATCTTTGGTTCTGCAGTAGTTCCTTTGAAAAAGTAATCGACCAGTTGAGAAGGTATGTCATCAGCTTCCACGATCAGCAACTCCAATCTCGTAAATGGTGAAGGTTGTTGCTCCAGAAACTCATACAATTCACTGAGTGCCTAAACAGAACAACAACAACAAAAACCCAACTTCATATGTAAGATGGAAGGAACCACTCAGCTACCATACGCAGCATTTACTTAGCCAAAGTATACCTGAATGGTCCAGTAATGCAGCTTCAGAGATTTTGCATTACGCAAACCTTGGAACAAGAAGATCAAATATCGCTCCAGGCGGATGCGGACGCGATACCTGTCGTCCTCTATCGTCAAGTTACGGATATGAACTTGGATATGAGCATGATCTAGGGAAGGAAGGCTTATATTTGAAAATCTTAAGAGTGTCCAATTATTCCAAAGGCTGAAGGACCTGAGTTTCGGGGCAAATATTTCAAGGTCGGCCGGAAACATAAGTAACATTTTAAGGCTAAGCAAATGCTGTCCGGAGATCCTAAGATCACTAGTGCCGTGACTACTCAAGACAAGATTCTCCAAACTAGGAAACTTAGAAAAGGGATCACGATCCCCTTTATAAGTGCAAATCAGACTGCTGTTTTGCAAATCTAAACTCCTCAGCAACCGAAAACAAGGAGATTCATAACCTCCATCCAAGGCAACACCTTTCAACTCTAGAGTTTTGAGATCGGAATCCAAGATCGAGCCGAACAACTCGGAGAATAAAATTGGACTATTCATAAAATCCGCGAGGTTAATCACTAAATGTTGAGTAGTATGATCGGAAAGCGCACATTGGACGAGCCTAATCAACAGACTACGGTCTCTAGCACCCGCACTCTCATCGTCTGTGTAGCTAATCTTGCGGGCATTAAGGGGATGGCGGAGAGACAAAACTGTCTCCACAAAGCTGCGAAAACTCGAGTAATGCTGGAAGGAATCCCGACGAAGGTCGAGGACCGGGACATTCTTCCAAGCGGACCTCCAAGATGGGGACAGTAAAGAGGTCTGAACGGCGGATTTCGTGTCGAGAAATGAAAGGATGTGATCAATAATGAAGTCTGGAAGATGGCTTAACCTGTCAGCTGTAGCTTCTTCTTCACCGCACCTGTTTCCAGCTTCTCCAAACTCAGTCATGGCGTTTTCGCAGCAGAGAACAATAGATTGTTTCAAGTTCGGAAACCTAGAACAATGAACCGCATGGATTAGGAACGGAAGCAAGAAGAGGAGTTAAAATGAAACAAAATTTCCAACAGCAAACTGCAACAACTGTAACGCCGAAAGGAAAGTGGGGGGAGGACTAGAAACCTAGGAGAACATTTTGTTCCAGTGAACACTGAACACTACAGACTATCTTCCGCGACTTTAGGGTTACGTGACAGCAGGGGAGGGGGAACTTCAGTTGAGAGGGGATAATATCGCTCACTTACTGGAATAAATAGTCTTGTTTTCTACCAAAAAAAAAATAGTCTTGTTTCTACTTTCTAGTCTTTAAATTCAAAAATACATGAATTTATTATGAATAACATTTTTCTATATCGAATCCGCTGAATAGATTGATACTATTGAAATCCGCTCTACATGTGTACCAATAAATCAAGATGTCTTTTTCAATAGGGCACACTATACACAACTATTGATGAACATTACCATGTCTAACTATTCATGAATAGTTCTATTCACGAACATTACTTTTCTAACTATTCATGAATAGTACTATGTCTAAATATCCATCAACATTAATTTGTCCAACTATTTATGAACAGTACTTTATCACAGTTGTTTACTATTCTCAGAGCCTATAGTCCCCACTGCTCAGTCATTAGAAGCCGTAAAACACAGTGGAAGGAAGGCACAAGAACCATCCTCCCTTTATTCAAGCTGCATTCTTAAATTTTAGGCAAAATACACTTGTATAGCCATAACTTTCACGTTTGTGACAAATATAGCCATAATTATTTGAAAACACAAAATAGCCAATTCCGTCCATTCTTTTAACGGTGTCAGTTAACAGTGTGACTAGACTGACGGAAAATGCTGAGTTGGCGATTTATTGACCCACCCATCCACGTGGATTAATAGAAAGAAAATAAAAAAATAAAAATAAATACATAAACATTAACCTACCTTCCTTCCCCAAAATCGAAAAAAAAAACCTTCCCCAAAATCATTCCACTTTCCCAGCAGCTCTCTCTGTACCCTACCAACCTTTTCCAAGCTCTCTCCCTCTAACTTTGCTCATCCATTTCCCTACCCAATAAACAAAGATGAATTGTAAACCCACCTCCGATCATCCCGCCGCTACAGACCCTTCCTCCACCGCCAATCTACCAAACCCACTCCTTAATTAGATGCATTCTCTCTATCTAATCTAGTCGGCTAAGCAAGATAGTGAAGCAGAGAGGCAGAGTACGGATAGCAGGTGCGTCGTCGGGAGCGACGGTGGCAGTTGGAGCGGGGGTCGCAGGACGGGAGCAATAGTGGCGGTGGATTGCGATTGCTCAACGTCCACCTCTCTGTTTGTTGTTGTCAATGGATGTTCTTGGAGAGCAGCAAACGAGCAACACACTAGCAGATCTGAGCAGATCTGTTATGGAGAGGGAGGGACGAGATTGGTTTGTGTGAGCAAAGACAGAGAGGCATGAGTAGGGCAAATGGACGGATCTGGATTAGGGGTATGTCGATTCCCCTTACTCCCTCGAACACCCTCGCCGATCCCAACGAAGCAACGAAAACGACCCAAAGCTCAACCCCAGATCGTCCTCCACGCTCGCCAAACTCCTCTCCCAGCTTGTTGCGAAAATTCCCACCGACGGCTAATACGCCACTTCCTAGTCCTCCATCGAAAAAGCAATCTCGCCGACGCATCTAATTAAGGAGTGGGGTTGGAGGAATTGGACGAGGATATGGCTATGAGGAAGGAGATTTGGGAGAAGAAAAGAGGATTTAAGTTGATTGGAAGGGTTCTTGGTAAGAATAATAGGGATAATTTTTGGGGGTTTTCTGGCGAACAATGGTTGTGTGGAGGATTTGTTTTAGGTTTGTAATTATTAGAAGGGCTCTGCGTTTGGATGGAGATTTTTTTTTTTCATTTTGGGCGGCGGAGAGATCGGTTGATGGCGGAGGAAGGGAAGGGAAGGGAAGGGAAGTCGACAAATAAATTGGATTTTTTTTTTAATTTTTTATTGACGTGGCATTCCACGTGTACATTTGGTTGATGTGTTGCTGATGTGGAGGTCAGATTTCGTCCTCGTCAGCATTCTGTCAAACGATTTAACGGAGTCACAGACGGTGTTAAAGTTTCTAACGGAATTGGCTAGATTTGTCACACTACCCTCCGTTTTTTTGGCTATTTCGTGTTTTCGAATAGATATGGCTATATTTGTCAAAAACGTGAAAGTTATGGCTATACAAGTGTATTTTGCCTAAATTTTAATAAGGATGAACTCATGAGAGTGAGTTCATGGAACCTGATCTCCCACAGAATAGCTGCAAGTTAAGCAACATCTCTAATCTCTATATTGAAACTTGAAACACACATTATTGTCATCTAGGGGCAGCAACAAAAAAGAAAAGAAAAGAAACAGCAGTGTAGAAAGATCCGCCTGTACTTCCCTATTGAAGACTGCAAGTCTGCAATCATAAACCTCAATTAAGCAGTTGTGACATGACTGAAGCTCAAAATATCTAGCATTGGAAACATGTTGCCGAGCCGAAAATGCTATATCCTTCAGGAACGAATAGTGCAGTACATAAAAGAGAGAAGGTTTTCATGAATTAACTAGATAAACTCGAGCTATTCCTAATCAACATGGAAAGTAAGAAAGAAAAGACGCTGTACTACTGTGAGAGCCCTATCAGAAGCTATGTCAAAATGGTTAACCAATGCATTATACATATCCGTACTCAACATTTGGTGTCGCCATAGAAGAGCCTTTCAGAAAGTAATCAAGCAGTGCGCTGGGAACAGTGACAGCTCCCACCTTCAAGGACTTCAATTTCGTAAATGGCGAGGTTTGCTGCTCCAGAAACTCGGTATCAATATTGCACAATACCTACACAGAACAGAAACCAACTTAAACCTTAGAAGAAATTGAAATTCGAGAAAGAAACAGTTCCATCACAACAATTATCAACAGGGTAGAATACCTGGATGGTGTAGTTATCCAGCTTGAGAGATGTTGCATTATTCAAACCATGTAACAAGGCGATCAAATGCTGCATCCTGCGCTCCTTGTCAAGCCCAATCGTTTTTTCCTCGTCAGAGACCCGAATATCAGCATGTACGAGGGAAGGAATGCTTAAGTTGGAGAAATTCAGGAATTCCAAGTCATGCACAAGTGCGAAGAATTCAAGCTTTGGTGCACATATTTCGATCTTCAAAGACAACAGACAGTCTAATTTCAGGCTTAGCAACTGGAGTCCAGATATCTTAAAACTCCTGTTACCCGCGCCATCAGCAAAATCAGTGTGGAGACACTGAGTCAAGACCAAATTCTTCAAACAGGGAAAGCCAGCAAAAGGATCCACATTCTCATCATCAAGAGAGCAAAGCAAGCACTGCTCCAAATTCAGATCATTGAGCATCCGAAAGCCAGAAAAATCGAATCTAGTATCCACTGAGACACGTCGTAGTTTAAGCGTCTTAAGGTTGCAATTCAAGTTCATACCAAACAAATAGCAGAACCTGAAAGTTTCATAGATATCCTCTCCATTCTGCAGGTCAATCACCAGATGCTGAGCCTCGTGGGACAATGCATACTTGATGACCTTTGCAAACGGGAAAAAAGTTCTTTCCGGCGACTTCTCGCCATCAATGAAGGATACAGTGCGGACATCCAATCGAAACCGGAGAGACAAAACCCTGTCGACATACTTCAGGAAACTCGAATACTTTTCGAAGGAATCACGATGAAAACTGAGGACAGGGACATATTTCCAGGCGCACCTCCACACTCGAGACAATACAGAGGTTTGGACGGCCGATTTGGCGTCGAGAAACGAAAGGATGTGATGTATAATGAAGCGTGGAAGATGGCTCAACCTGTCAGTAGTAGTAGAAGTATCATTTTCTTCCTCACGACTCCTTTTCACACCTTTCCCCAAATTGTTCATGGCTCTCTACTGAAGGCGACTGAAAAATCGCTTCAATCGTACCCTAAAGTGAGCGATTCAGAGAGTTAGAGACCAAACACACCTGCCTCCGATGACGTATCCCGAACCCAGAAGACTTACAAGCGATCATCTCCATCGCTGCAATCCAGACCTATCATAGCGCGAACTTTGATTCAATTAGGGTTTTGCGTTTTTTTATTTGGCGCGGGAACTGGCTAGTTGGTAGGCGGGAGAAATGGACGGCTTCACCGAAAATCTCTGTGGAAAATTGGAAATGCGTGAAAAGTAGTAGTGGATTTCTTTTGGGCTGCAAATGGATGCGCAAACAGGCCCAGATAATCGGAGGAATTAAGGAACGTTAACATACCCCTGGATCCGGCCCGTAGACCACATGCACAAAATGATGAGAAGTTATTGTTTGTTTGTTACAACACCGAATTCTCTTATTATTTAAACAATTGAAATGTATGATATGATAGTTTGATGCTATTTAATATATAAATGATTATGAACAAACGTGTCTTTAGTATAACCAGGGGGAATGTTGATGAGATGCTAAAGATTTTTTTCAATGTCAAAGTGTAGCTAATAACTCACATCTCAAAGTAATTTAAAATTTTGAAGGTTGATTGTTGTTATTCCATTAACTATTTAGATTGGTCTGTTGAGACTAAAAGCCATCATACTTTGATGTGGACCGAATCTTCTAGTTGTACGAGTGGGTTGAAGGAAGATGTTGAGACTTGAGAGTCGAAATCTAGTAGAAGACTCGGTTCATCAATCATCAACGACGAAAGTTTTTAGTTTGAAAGTTAAGTGGCCAAAATTTTGACTGTAGAAAAAACTTAATCGATTAAATGACGGTACCTTGATTCAGAGTTTGGAATCTTTTGTATAATGTTGTCCCAATTGCAATCAAATTGTATTGGTACATTAGTACCAACCGCGCAAGCTTGAGAAATTCAAGAACTGCATGTCAAACCCTAGTGTGAAGGATTCGAGTTTCATTGCACATATTTCCACTCTCATAGCCAACAAACAATTGAGGTCCAGAAAGATAGGCAGATACCTTGAAACTCCCATCTTTACGAAAATCAAAATCAGAGAGGATGCACCAAAATAAAAGAGAAACAGCAGGGTCAAAAGATCGCATCATACTTCCCTTACCAAGACTGAAATCAGGAACCTCAACTGAGCTGTAACATGATTGAAACTCAAGATATCTAACATTGGGAACATCTGCTAAGCCAAAACATGACTAGGTTCTTAAGGAAGTATAGTGCAACACATATTGCAGTCAAGATAAGCCAGTAGGTCTAATCAATTTACCTAGATAGAATCCAGAGCTATTCCTGATCGACATTGAAAGAAGAAAGAAAACACGCCAAAATACTGCACAACACTGACCAGAAGCTATGTCAAAATGGATAACCAAAACATTATACATATCCATACTCAACTTTTGGTGTCATACTAGAAGACCCTTTAAGAAAGTAATGGAGCAGCGCGCTACGTACAGTGACCGCTCCCACCATCAAGGACTCCAATTTCGTAAATGGCGAGGTTTGCTGCTCCAGAAACTCAGTATCAATATTGCTCAGTACCTACGCAGAACAGAAACCAACTTACACGGGCAACATTCATTAAAGAAACAGTTTCATTACAGCAAATACCAACCGCATAGAATACCTGGATGGAGTAGTTATCCAGCTTGAGAGATGTTAAGCTATTCAGACCTTGGAAAAAGGAGATCAAACGCTGCATCTTGAGTTCCTTCTTAATAGCCATCGATTTCTCCTCGTCAGATACCCGGATATCAGCATGAACGAGGGAAGGAATGCTTAAGTTGGAGAAATTCAGGAATTCCAAGTCATGCACAAGTGTGAAGAATTTGAGTTCTGGTGCACATATTTCGATCCTGGTAGGCAACAGACGATCCAATTTCAGGTTCACCAATTGGGATCCAGATATCTTGAAACTCCTCTTACTCGAGAGATTACCAAAATCAGAGTGGAGGCACTGAGTCAAGACCAAATTCTTCAAACAGGGAAAGCCAGAAAAAGGATCGACGTCCTCGTCTTCAACAGAGATCAGAAAGGACTGCTCCAAAGTCAGATCAGTGAGCATCCTAAAGCCAGAAAAATCGCATTTAGTATCCAGCGAGACGCGTCGCAGTTTTAGAGTCTTGAGGTTGCAATTCAAGTCTGTACCAAACAAATAGCAGAACCTGAACGAGTAGAACATACTCTCTCCATTGAGCAGGTCAATGACTAAATGCTGAGCCTCGTGGGACAAATCATATTTGACGACATTCGAAAACGGTAGAATGGTCCTATCGTCGTCAATGTAGGATACCGTGTCGACATCCAAGCGAAATCGGAGAGACAAAACCCTGTCCGCATAGTGCAGAAAACTCGAATACTTGTCAAAGGAATCGCGGCGAAAATTGAGGACCGGGACATATTTCCAGGCGCATCTCCACGCCCGAGACAACACAGAGGTTTGGACGGCCGATCTCGGGTCGAGAAATGAAAGGATGCTGTTAATAACGAAGCGCTGAAGATGGCTTAACCTGTCAGTAGAAGTAATATCATCTTCTTCCTCACGATTCCTCTTAATACCTTCGCCCAAATCGCTGCTGTTGTTATTCATGGCTCTCTACTGGAGTGAAACTATAAAATTGGTTTCAATCCTCTACCCTAAAATAAGCGATTCAGAGAGTTACATACCATAATCAATTGCTTCCGATGACCATTGAAGGAGTCTTGCCGACCTATCCCGACACCAAGAGAATTACTAGTATTCCAAACTCATCAATTCATAGCAGGCATTCGATCCGATTAGGGTTTCTGTTTTGGGCGACGGCAATTGCTAATTGGCAATTGCAGTTCAGAGTTCAGACTTCCGAGGAAGTAAAGGAGGGAAATGGATGTGTTTCTTACTTTCTTTCCCTTCTGTGTTTTCTTTTGGGCGGTAAATGGTTCTCCTATTGTAAACAAGCCCAGCCGATATGAGTAATTAAGGTCCAATAACTTGCCACTGGATCTGACCCGTAAACCATGACGATAATGAGTGAATTGAAGGTTTTCATATATTTTTTTTTATTGATTCAAAATTTTCGATCATAAATGTTCGGTGGCAATATGATGATGGAATATTGAAATGAGTGAAATTTAAATTGATAAAATCATTAAAATGTTGTGTGTGCAATAAATTTATTGAAGGAATAGTGTTAGTTTTTCACAATGCAATTAAAAGCGTAATTCTAATTAGAAGCATTTTGATAATCTGAATATGTAAAACCATAAGCTTCTGAATTTTAAAACACAATTTTAATTATATTAGTTAGGAAAAGCACAATTCTATGCTATAAGTGTTTTACTAACTTATAAAAGCATAGACTTTTGAACTTTAAAAAGTGTGATTTTAACTATAAATCTATAATTCAAATGAACAATTTAAATGATTGAATTCTTCAAACGAACAATTTAAATGTTGGAGAATTCCATCGATTCAAATTATCGGTTTGTCATGCAAATTTTTTATTTCATACGATGGAATTTAACACAATTCAACCACTGAATTCCTTAGCTCCAAAAGTCGGAAAATGTTGAGTCCTAGAGTTGAGCACAATTCCAACACTAAATTCCATGATCCAAAAGTCCCAAATCTGTAGCTGCTCCGTATTTTAGTATCTACAATCTCAGCTCCTTGCCAAGTACAACCCACCCTGGATTCCAACCGCTGTGGATCACCAAACTCAGACCGCCAAGCCATTGACAATAAAAGCAGTACAAAGTAGAGGAAAATGAACAAGAACCATCATCATAATAAACTTCAGTTAAACAGACATGATTGAAACTCAAGCTATCTAACGTTGAAAGATGTTGCTGAGTGGGGGAAAAAATGACAGAATTCTTAAGGAACTGACAGTGCAAGACATATTGCAGTCAAGTACCTTAGACGCCTACTCCTAAGATGACCTGAACACAAAGACAAACACGACAAACTACAGTTTACACCTGAACCAGAAGCTATGTTGAAATAGCTAACAAACACACTGACCGTATCCATACTCAACATTTGGTTTCATACTAGAAGACCCTTTAAGAAGGTAATCGAGCAGAGCATGAGGTATAGAGAGGGCTTCCACAATCAAGGACTTCAATTTCGTAAAGGGCGATGGTTGCCGCTCCAGAAACTCAAAATCAATATTGCTCAGTACCTACACAGAACGTAAACAAACTTAAAGCGCAAGGCAGTTAATATTCCCGAAAGAAATTACGACAATATCAACTGTAGAATACCTGGACGGTTTGGTAATCCAGCTTGAGAGATGTTGCATTGTTAAATCCTTGGAACATGGAGATCAGACGTTGCAGTATTTGTTTCTTGTTATCCTCCCTCGAAGGCTCCCCATCACAAAGCCGAAGATGAGCATGAACGAGGGAAGGAATGCTCAAGTTTGCGAAATTCAAGAACTGCAAGTCATGCCCTACTTTGAAGGATTCGAGCTTTGGTGCGCATATTTCCATTCTCATAGCCATCAAACAATCCAGTTCGAGGGTGAGCAATTGAGGCCCAGATATCTTGAAACTCCTTTTATCTTCGCGAAAAACAAAATCAGAGTGGATGCACTCAGTCAGGACTAAATTTTTAAGACAGGGAAAGCCGGAAAAAGGATCAACTTCCCCTTCAACCTCGGAGACCAGCGGGCACTGCTCCAAATTCAAATCTGTCAGCATCCGGAAGCCAGAAACATCAAATCCTATTTCGATCTTCACACGTTGAAGCTTAAGAGTCCTAAGGTCGCAATTCGAGACCGTGCCAAACAAATTAGAGAAACAGCAACTTTTAAAGACTCCACTTTTATTGTTCAGGTCCATATCTAAATGCTGAGCACCATGGGATAATGCATATCTTACGACCTTCACAAACAGACTTTCTCTCCGTTCCGCCAACCTCTCGTTGTCAATGTAGGATACCGTGCAGACACTCTCGGGGAATCGGAGGGACAAAACCTCCTCCACATACATCTGGAAGCTCGAATATTGCTCAAACGAATCCCTACGAAAACTGAGAAAAGGGACATATTTCCACGCGCATCTCCACATTCGGGACAGTACGCAGGTCTGGACTGCCGATTTCGTGTCAAGAAGCGAAAGGATTTGATAAATGAGGGGTTTCGGAAGATGGCTTAACCTGTCAGTCGCCAATTCTCCATCGTCATCTCCTTCTTCTTCTTCTTCTTCTTCTTCTTCTTCTTCACAGCGCGCCCTTTTTCCAGCGCGCCCTATCTCGTAGCTGCTGCTGCTGTCGTCGCTGTCCATAGCTTTTCTACTGGATGCAACTACTGATGATTTCTGGAACTCCAGGAACCCTAGAATGATTAATATGAAAGGAAGAGAAATGGGAAACATTTAGCAAGAACAGAATCATCGAACGAACACGAATTCATTTGTGTCCCTCGATAAAGGAAGAATACTCACAAGCAATCGCCTCTGATATTGCAATCCAAACTCCAGGTGACCGCAGTCGTTGAAACGCAGAAGCAGAATGCGGAAGGGGACTAGAACGCTATGGGCATTTTGATCCGATTAACCGATCGTTACATTCTAAACTTCACCGATTTAGGGTTTCGTTTTTAGGCGCGCGAACTGCAGTTCAGGGAGGGAGGTGGGAATTGGGCAGAAATGGCACAGAATTTCTCTCGGGAAAAGCGAGAAGGAGCATGGGCTCTTTCCTTAATTTTCTTTTCGGTTGTGTATGGCAACGTAGGCCCATATAAAAAAAAGCAATTTTACTATGCTATATAGCATTTGTGCTATAGGTTTTTGTCTTTATAGTACAACTTTAGATTGTACCTATATAGCATTGGTGCTATAGGTTTTTGCTTTTATGGTACAATTTGAAGTTATACATTTAACGTTATTGTACAACTTTAGATTGTACCTATACTCTTTTGTACAAATTCTTTCATGGTACAACTTGAACTTGTACATTTATGTGACGGTACAACTTTAAGTTGTAAAGTTTTACAATAACATAAGAGTACAAATTCATTTATGGTACAATATGAACTTATACATTTAACGTTATGGTACAACTTTAAGTTGTACATTAAAGCACTCATACTTTAGAGCATAGTAGAAGTGCTCCTAAGAAAATCCACGAATCAAATTTGTCGTCTCGTTCTTGTTTGAGGTTCGACTATTTAGTGTGGTTGCGTTCTAGATACTAGATAAGTGTTTGTCCTTTTCTTTGTTGGACGGGTTCTTCCCTCTAAATAAGAGTGATCGATTGTTAAAATTGGGCACAAATATGACTTTTATTATCTACAAAATTTAGGATGTGATTGTTGGAATGGGGGTATTCTATGAATTTATGTATTGTGATAATATGTAATATTTGAATGGGCATATTTGACGAATACACTATTTGGTGGATTTTATTTTTTTAAAAATAAAATAGTAACTTATCTTTATGGGTTAGAAAGACACATTTTCTCCTCTTCTTACTAGGGATGGCAATTTCGACCTGACCCGTTTTACCCGACCTGTTTGACCTGTTTTGGGGCGGGGCGGGTATGGGTAGTCTCATCGACCCGACCTGCCCTGACCCGTCCCATTTTCGACCCGTTCTTGTCTAAATTACATGAAATCTTAGTCAAATTACTTTGATTTTTACTTTTATCGCATCATATTTTAGCTATAATAAAGTTGTAAATTAGTGAAAATCTCAATTTCTCCAATAATTTAACTACAATTGTCATTATATTGTTTATTTTCTTAGTTTTATAATAAAAATAACGAATATTTCTAATGTTTTTCAAATAAATTGCATACCCATTGGGTCGACCTGCCCCGACCCGCGACCCGTGATCAATTAACTGACCTGAACACGCCCTGCCACGGGGCGGGTCTGGGTACCAAGAAACCCGCCCCGGACCTGCCCCATTGCCATTTCTACTTCTTACTCCTACCCTATTTTCTATTTTAGTGGAATTATATATGGTCTTCCCTCTTGTGAATCCAGAACTGGAAGAATACCAGTAGATGAAAATAGATTTTTCGATCGATGGGATTATGGAGGAAGTAGCTTAGAAAGGATGACCATCGTCCCATGTCGTCTCGATTGATGGTGAACATAAGGTAGGTTTCCGACAGAGAGAAGCAAAGGAAGAGGTAGATTTGATGGTCGATGAGATTTCTAGTAATTGTGTTTATTTCTGGTGAGGTTTCGTTGCAGGGAAGGTAGATTCAAAAGGGTTTGCCATCGTTTCTCTTTGTCTGTTCTCTAGTAACTCTGCTTTATCCCACAAAGATTTCGGTCGATGGCGAACAGAATGTAGGTTGTCGGCAGAGAGATGTAATAGAAGAGGTAGATTCGATGGCCAACGCCCAACAAGACTTCTAGTAGCTCTATGTTAATTTTCGACGAGATTTTGATGGTCGGAAGAGATAAATTTGCTCGATAGAGAGAAGCAAGGGAGAGAGGTTGAGAACAAGCAAGGAAGAAAAAGACGAGGTTATAAAACTTTCAAACAATCTCAACTTTTAGCTGATATTTATAGATTGTTTGGATATTGGAATTCTATAAAAATGTATTTAGATAACACAAGCAATCTCATTTTTTAGTTATTTTTACACACAATACATGTATTAGAGTTCTAATGTGATAACTCTAATACTTAATGATTCTAAATCTCAACTAAAATATGAGATTCTTTTGATTGTCTTTTCTTCCTTAATGTATGTGGCTTTTTTACTTTACATAAAGGTATACTCTCAAGTTTCAACTTCTAATCAACTTATTTTTCAAATACATATATTCAGTCTCCAATACACTTAATTAGAATACATCAATTCAATGAACGCATTTATTTAGATAATCTCAACCTCCAAACATGACCTTAGAATTTAAAAAAAAAAAGTATTAGAGCTGCCAGATCAAAACTCAAATAGATGCATTGGGTCTTCTATTCAGTGAGCTAATAAAAGCTAGGGTTCATTCATCTACATTGTACCTTCTAAAGAAAACAAAATTAGATAGAATGTACATCCAGGACCGAAAATTTCAATCTGGTAGTCATTCCAGACCGACAATTCGTTCCAGGATATAACTTGAAGTTTCCTTTACCAGGTCTTGTGACTGATTATATCTTTCAAGTCACCCAGATTGGGCAGGCAGCAAATGTTTGGGAAGATAACTGATTCCAGAATCACAAAATTAGGCAGAAGAATGAACTTTTCAGGGAAATTTTCCTCCCAAATCAAAGAAAAAGCGTAGAGAAGTAGCAAAGGAGAACAAAGCTGAAGCAATGTAATCATCAGAAGTCTCATTTGATCTGTCAAGAACGAAGTCCAGAGATATTTGACATAAAAAAGTGATGCCAACGGGGAAAAGTGGTACTGGACTTCAGAAACTAACAGAGTGATATATACACACATATTGCAGCAGAAATAAGCCGAGTAGCTCGAGCATGAACAGAACAAATGTATGATCAAATATTCCCAAGAGACATCAACAGAACAAAATTTTGAGCTTATGCATGCCACAATAAGAAGCTATGTCAACATGATTTACCAACACCATACTTAACATTTGGTTTAACACTAGAAGACCCTTTAAGAAAGTAGTCGATCAGTGAGTGAGGTATAGTGAGAGCTTCCACACCCAAGGACTTCAATCTTGTAAATGGGGAGGGTTGCTTTTCCAGAAGCTCAGATATGTTAGACAGTACCTATACATAACAAAAAAAACCAACTTAAAAACATTATTCCCACGATGAACAAGTTCCATCACACAATACGAATCATAGAGAATACCTGGATGCTATAGTAATCCAGCTGGAGAGATGTTGCACTCTTCAAACATTGGAACAAGAAAATCAAGCGCTGCATAAACTGTTCCTTATTATCATCGTTCATTGCATTCTCCTCGTCCGAGATCCGAATGTCAGCATGAATGAGAGAAGGAACCCTTAAGCTGGAAATTTTCAAGAAATCCAGGTCATGCTCAAGTGTAAAGAATTTGAGTTTTGGTGCGCATATTTCGAGCTTCGTACAATGCAGACAATCCAATTTCAGACTAAGCAGTTGGGATCCATAAATCTTGAAACTCCTGAAATCCCAGTCATTAGCAATATCAGAGTGGACGCACTCAGTCAGGACCAGATTCTTCAGACAGGGAAAGCCAGAGAAAGGATTAATGTCCTCGTCGTAGTAAGAGACCAACACGCACTGTTCCAGAGTTAGATCCATGAGCACCGGAAAGGTAGAATTTCTGAAATCAGTATCCACCCAGAGACGTCTTAGTTCGAGAGTCTTGCAACAAAAGATCGTGCCAGACAACAGACTGGAGAATCTGCAACTGGCATAGATATCCTTCCCATTGTTCAGGTCAATCACTAAATGCTGAGCATCATGGGCAACTGCATATTTGATGACCCGGGCAAACAGCCCACGATCTCGTTCCGCCGAGCTCTCATCATCAACATAGGATACCATGCGTACACTCAAGGGAAACCGCAGGGACAAAACCTCATCCACATATAGTTGGAAACTCGAATACTGTTGGAAGGAATCACTACGAAAACTGAGGACGGAGACATACTTCCAGGCACATCTCCACACTCGGGACAATACACAGGTCTGAACAGCAGATTTGGTGTCTAGAAATGAAAGGATGTGAGAAAGAATGAAGCCTGGAAGTTGGCTTAACCTATCAGGACGAGAAGAATCTGTATCTCCTTCTCGGGGCCTTTTTCCAGCCTTCCCCAATTCGTAGCTGCTTTCGTTCATGGCTTTCTATCTAGATGAATCTACTATTCGTTTCAATCGTAACCTACAACGAGCGATTAAGAATACTAGAAACGAAATCACCTCTTCTCCGATGATCAGCTCTGTTGGCGGCGTATGCCGACCAAAGATTGTTGCAAGGAATCCTCTACAGCGCTTCAATCAGAAATCATCTAGCCGGATGAAGCAATCTCTGTAGCAGAAACTTGAAAGGGGACTGTAAAACGATGGGCATCTGATCAATTAGGGTTTCGTTCTTAGGCGCGGGAAATGCCTATTAGGAGTTTGGCGGGAGGATCTGATTTGGTAAAGCAAGAAAAATACTGGTGGCGGGATTTTCTTCTTTGCTCTCTTTTTGGTAAGGATCTTCTTTGCTCTCTAATGGGCCGTGAACTTATCTATCTATATTAGCAGGAAAAAGAAAAACATGTCTCTCTCATCTCTCTCTCTAACGGTCGTTTTCTCTGAACCTGCAAACAGTTCTTTTTCCGTCCCCTTGGTTGGGACTCTTCCAGCTCTAACAGAGAGGGCACAAGAGAATCACACAGCTGTATGCAAAGATCTATCTCAGTATAGTGTCAATCTTGAGGGGGAAAGTGACTGCTATCCTCCAGCAGCGAAGATTCAGGAAGAGACTCGACAGCACAGGGGATACCCTGCTCCTGATATAAAGAGAGGGGATGTTTGGAAACCACCAGACTGGTGGTGGCTCTGGCTCTCCTGTCGGAATAAGAAGAAGAACAGAAGGGAAGTAAAAGAAAGAGGGTCCGAAAAGTTGATCTATGAACAAGACTATACTATTCGTGTTCAGAGAAGGAGATCCATTGAGCCAAGAGCCCCTGTCAAGAAAAGAAGAAAACAGAGCAGAATTAAATTCAGTCAGCAGAAAAATAATGAAGGCATGGAAAGGAAGGGTACCAACCACCATCAAGAGGGGAGCGAGACCCAGCTACCTAGTGAAGCCCATAAAGAGGGGAGAACAGATAGAGGAAGTCAGTCTGCTCCCAAAACAAAACCCAAACCGAAAAAGACATACTGCCTAATTGCTCGCCTTTCTTCCCCTGGAAACAACTCAAACCGTTCCATAGTGAAAAACCCATATGTGGGGATAATGGATACAAACAACATTGCTCCAAATGACCAGAGGAATGCAGGTGGAATCATCACAGCGGCTGCAAGAGGAAGAGGAGGGCGCCCAAATCTGACTACAATAGGGGGCCGAGGGATATCTATGCTGCTGGGGAGGATGCTGACAGAGAACAGAGTAGCTTTGGCAAAAGCTGCAGGAGCTGCTCGCTATGCTTGGGGTGGATATGGAGAGGTGAATGTTCAACCAACTAACACCCAAAACCTCTACATATTCACCTTTAGCAATGCCGAAGTCGGAGAAAGGATTTGGAGAGAAAGACCTTGGAGCTTATCAAACACACAGACAGCAATCAATAAATACAATGGGAGAGGGAAGCCAGAAGAGCTACCGATGGAGAAGCTTGCAATTTGGGTGCAAATCCATGGTATGCACCAGAATCAAAGAAATGAAGACAACATGGTGGCCATAGGAACACACTACTTTGCAAGCTTCCTTGACCTTGATAGAGCAAGCCTGGAGTTCTCTGGATACAGGAGATTTTTGAGGATACTGGTGGAGGTTGATCTCAATGAGCCAATTCCGACAGGATTCGACTTTCCATTCACAGATGAAGCAACAGGGGTGGACTACTGTGAGGTGATCGAATTTAAATACGAGAGGTTAGTTGAACTGTGCTACTTCTGCGGACGAATCGGCCACAACTGGCCGACGTGTTGGAGGATGGACGAGGAGAGGAGGAGGAATGGCTTTGCGCATCTGTCGGAGGTTTACAACTCATCTCTCAAGGCCGGAATTGACTCTCCCCATAGAATGGGAAACTCGAGAAGCAGTAGAGAAGGGGAGAGATCGCGGAGCTCGACGGGGGAAATGGTCAGAGCAGCGTCACGTGAGGAGTATCAGAGGAGGGAAGAAGGAGGCAGAGCAATGGCGCAGGGGGAAGGCAGCCAAGCTGCGGTGAATCCCCAAATCCCCCCTGGGTTTACAATCATAAGAGAAGAGGAGCAGGGGAACCAAGGTAGACAGAGAGGGAGATATAGAGAAGAGATGGGAGGGAGGGATCTCAGTAGTGAGATGGAAAGAACAGCTCTGGCCATGGAGGGAGGGCTGCGGCTTGAAGAGGAAGGGAGGCTGGGCGGCGGCGCCGATCAGGAGGAAGAAGAGGAGGTGGAGACAGGCCTAACACTTGGGCTGAGGAGGCAAGGGAAAGAAGCGGCCTAGGCTTGCCATGAGGGAGGCCCAACCGAAACCATCTTCTTTCACCACGACCAGCAGGCTTTTGAGGAGGAGATTGACCGAAAATTAAAAAAAAAAAAAAAGGGATGGGCCAAGCTAGCAATGTTAGGCCCAGAGGGGAGTTGGGGGAGGGAGCAGCTGCTCTCTTGGGCCCAAATGATGTTGTCTACATGAGAGGGCTTGGTGGGGAAAACAAAAAAAAAAAAGAAAAATCAAAGGTTCAAGCCTCACCCTAGCAGCAAATCAAAGGGGAACAACTCGGATGGGGAGCAAGGAAGGGATACAAGGGCAGCGGTGGTTCACCAGAAGCCACCTCTTCAGGAATGAGCATTGTAAGTTGGAATTGTAGGGGATTTGGCCCACCCCTTACAAGAAGTTATGCAAAGCGTATGTGTCGACGCTTAGGCCCTTCTATCGTTTTTCTTATGGAGACTAGCAAGAATGAGGCCTTCATGGAAGAACAAAGAAGAAGTCTCAGAATTTTCCCCAATAGAGAGTATGTTGAACCGGTCAACTCTTCTAGGGGGTTTGCATTGTGGTGGAAAGCGGGTATTAGTATTAATGTGTTAAGTAGTGATAGCTACTATATGGATGTTAGTATAGATATGGGTAGAAAGTTTTTCTATACTTTTGTTCATGCACCTTCTACAGCTGTCAGTAGAAGGGAATTTTGGGAGCACCTGAGCTCTTTACGGAGTAGTAGGGATGATAGCTGGATTATTGTAGGGGATTTTAATGCCGCTATCTATGAAAATGAGAAAGAGGGAAAATGTCCTCTTAGGTATGAGAATGTTGAGCCTTTCAAAAGGTTCATATTCCAGAACGCTCTGATCGATCTAGGCTTTAAAGGGGAACCCTTCACTTGGACCAACAAGCGAACGGGACATAATACGACGAGAGTTAGATTGGACAGAGTGTTGTGCTCTACTTCTTGGAGAGCTCTTTTCGGAGAAGCTGTGGTCTTTCATGAAAAGATGGTGGAATCGGATCATTGCCCAATCAGATTGGAACTCCATTTTAGAGGGAATAGGAGGAAGAATACCCCCTTTAGAGTGGACGAAAGATGGTTGGAAAAAGAAGAATGCAAAGAGATTGTGGTGAGGGCTTGGGACCCGGGAGGTCAATCTTCGAACCAACTTACTAAGTGTGAACGTGACCTCAAGGTGTGGGCAAAGGACTTCCACAAGAATAGTTCACAAAGAGAGAGGGAGATTCTAGATAGGCTTGATCAGCTTCAGCGTCCTCCAAGAACACAAGAAAGGGTGGAGGAAGAGAAAAGTATCACAGCGGAATTGGCAAAAATTTGGATGGACGAGGAAGCATTCTGGAATCAGTGCTCTAGAGTGACTTGGCTGCAAAAAGGTGACCAAAATACTTCCTTTTTCCATTCTAGCACGGTTCATAGAAGACATAAGAACAGAATCCTTAGGTTAAAGGAAGATGAGGGTGTTTGGGTTGAGGACGAGAGTAGACTTAAAGGCATCTCCCTGGACTTCTATAAAGACCTCTTCAGAACCAGAGACCCTCTCCCCCCAAACCACCTTATGGATGGTTTCCCTAGTAAAGTCTCACCCGAGATGAATGAAGAGATTTGTGCCCCTGCTTCAAATGAGGAGATCAGGAGAGCTGTTTTCTCGTTAGGAGCAAAAAAATCTCCAGGTCCAGATGGTTTCTCTGGGCGATTCTATCGTCGTTTCTGGGGCATCATCGGAGGAACTCTGTGTCGAGAGATCAAGATGTTCTTTGAGTCTGCCAGCATGCCAAAGGGATGGAATGATACACATGTTGTTATGATCCCAAATGTGGATCACCCTGAAGTGATCAGCCAGTTCCGCCCTATCAGCTGCTGTAATTTTTGATATAAAATCATATCCAAGATTATGGCAACCAGCCTCAAGAAATGGATTCCTTATCTGGTCTCGGAGCTTCAGACGGCTTTCACGGGAGGGAGGTTAATCCAGGATAACATCATTATCGTGCACGAGGCTCTGCATCACTTCAAGAACCACAAGAGGGGGAGGAGAAGGGACATGATGCTTAAGTTGGATATGAAAAAGGCGTACGATATGGTGGATTGGGACTGCTTAGAGGCTCTTCTGGAAAAGTACGGATTTGATGAGAAATGGCGGAGATGGGTCAGTGCTTGCATCCGTTCTGTCAGATTCTCGATCCTCTTCAATGGAGAAGAAACGGAGGCGTTCTCCCCTTCACGAGGCATCAGACAGGGAGATCCGCTATCCCCGTTTCTGTTCATACTTATGTCCAATGCCCTCACCTTTCTGATCGATAAGGCTGTCACACAGGACCAATTAAAGGGGATTAGATTGAATCCTAGATGCCCTACTATCACCCACTGCCTGTTCGCAGATGATACAGTTATATTTGGGAAGGCCAACATACAGGAAGCTGAGAAAATCCTGGAACTCATCAACGAGTATGGGGCAATCATGGGACAAGAAGTGAATATCAACAAATCGTCAATCTTCTTCAGTGCAAATGTCCCTAATGAGGAGAAAGCATCTATCATTGCGCATCTGGGTTTTGCCACAACGAATTTTCATTCAAAATGTCTGGGGGTGCCGACGGAGTGGGGCAATTCGAAGAAGGAGACCTTTAGCTTCCTTATCCAAAGAATGGAGAAGATGGGGGAAGCTTGGAAAAGTCTTCTGCTCTCCCACGA